CCCCAGACAAGATGTGCTGGTTCTTCCCCAAAACTCAGGCGGCGACATTATTGTGGAGATCTTTAATTACCACAACCTGCATTTTCCAGTTTGCAAATTGCAGCCATAACTCATACGGACACTAGTTGCCCCCAGATTCATTCTCCTTTTAATAAAACAGGCCGGCAAAGCTCAGACACAACAGGTCTGAGAGGCGGATTAATAAACCATGAGATGGACTAATTAGCTGCTGGGCAATGTTCCGTAACAAGGATGATGAAACCCAAGTCTGTTTGCACCAATGGGACACAGGTTGCCCCAGACGTTGCCCTGTCAGTGCCCGGTAATTCAACGCGTGGAATCATCCAGTGCTCCAGGGTGTCATTACAGGGGGTGTGTCTCACTCTCTTTTTCCCCCTGACACTGGGGGCATCTGGAGGATCAGACCCATAATGCCTTTGGGCAGACGCGGGTGAAGCGAATGGCCAATCTAGGGCGCCGCAGACACCCAATCCCAGCACAGCAAGTGGCGGAAGCTTCTCGGGGCCGGTCATTGCCATTTCCCCCCATAGGAGGGCGCCACAGAGGGGCTTCTCCAGAGGACGTGTCAGTGGTACAGGCCAACAGCGCAGCACTGGGTCGATGGCTTTAGATAGTACTCGCTTGGTTTTGCGAGTGACGTGGTGAACGCAGATTGCCATCCCTGCGGAAAAGGACCCGCTGTGGCCTGATATCCCTGCCGTTTCCAGAGGGACCCCGTCGCCTTTTTAATGACACAGAGGGGACTAGTGCTCCGTGAGTTAGATCTGAGGTGCTTTAGCTGTGAGGGGCTGACAAGAAATTTGCTCGCTCTATTTCGCAGTGTTTATCTCCCCCCCGCCACTGCTGCATCTCTATTTAAAGTGCTCCAGTGGAAGAACATCAGGGGCTGGGAGAGGGGCAGTGGGCAGGCGGGAGGGAGCGCTGCCAGGGCACCTGAAATGACTTGGATCCACAGTCGTGGTGTCCTCTTACGTTAGTGGTAAATATGGCCCGTTTTGAGCAGCATCATTACCCACTCAGGGAGGAGCGAGTGTGAGTCATGTGGCTGACGCGGACGGTATAACCGCGAGGGCTGGCCCAAAGTGTCCACGCTCGGCTCGCCGATTCAAAGGCTGCACCGCCAAACGCCTCCTCAAATCACCCGTTCTTTAATTATCCTCATCCACTGGGCGGTCATCGTCAAAGAGATTAGAGGTATTAAGGAAGTGAGAGTTTTAGGGAGACTGCTTTTCTGTGTATGTGTGTGTATGTGTGGGTCAGATATACATTACCGAATGTCCCCACTATGTCATTAAAAGCTGTTATTTTGACGTTGTGGGGACCATTTTTTCGGTCTCCACAAGGGGAAATTCAACTTTATAGAATTCTGTGACTACAATCAAAAAACTAAAAATGCCAAAATGCTTGTATTTTGTTTGATTATTTATGGTTAAGGTTAGAGCTGGGTAGGGGTTAAGGTTGTCACTGATGGGATTACAGTTTTTGTCTGTTGGGCAAAGACAGGAAGACAGAGAGGGAGGGAAACAGTTAGAGTGCATTTATGGCCAGGTATCGTTGAAAATAAATATTAAAATCCTGAAATACTGTGATATTGGAAAGCAGGAAAACAGATTAATTGTTTTTGTATGGTATATTTAATCTAAAAGCCTTCTGTTTTTAGAAAGCATTGAGAAGAAGGTGTTATTAACATAGCAGCTCTAGTTCGTAAGTTAATTATACCTTTGATAAGGGTGCAGAAATGTGCTACTGAATGTAGTACGGCAGGCTTCCACTGCAGGTCCTTCAAGGGCTCTGGCTGCCACTAGATTCTCAGGCTGTTTAATATTCCGCCTGTCCCTTATTGCTTTAGCATTTAACTATTAATGGGTCTGTTATAGTTCTTCTTTGTTTAATTTCACAATGTTGCCTTCCTCTCGGAGTCCTCAGAAAGGAGCAGGAAGCTTCCAGTGTGTCTCACCACGAATGTGCTCTTACCCACGCTCTGCGATTGATCGCCGGCTCTCTGAGGCGCTGAAGGACTCCCGGTGCCCAGGGGGCCGCCTCACATGTGTGTGAGCATGTGCCGGGTGCGGAAGCCGTCTGACGGGCGGGCAGCGAGGCTCATGGGACACGCATGTGTGGTGGGCGGGAAGCACGCCCCAGCCAGCACCGAATAGGCCTTTTGCCGCCGTGACGCCATTCAGGTCCCTGTGGTAAACATGCTTGCTATGCTCACACTTTCACAGAGAACAGTGAGCAAGCAGGGTGATGTCTCAACACCATTTTCACATGGCAGGGTGTTAAAAGGCATCTGCAAGCACTCATGTGACAACGGCATGTGCTTTGTGTGTGTGTGTTTGTGCACACAAATGCACTCCTGTATACTGAAAATACCCATTACATTTACATCTGCCTAATGGGCTTGGGCAGTATGACAATAATACAGTATTTTGGGTATACTCCTCCCCTCTCCCTGGTGAATTTTATTGTTGGGGGACCCTGCCAAGATTTCACAGTATTGGAGTAGCATTGCTTTTGAAAAAATACCATATACCATGGTATAATCTATTGACAGCATGGTGATGTGAAAAATTAAATACCGCCCAAGTTTACTACCTACTTGGCTTTTCTGCCAAAGGACTCAAAGGTTCATACATTAAGACACTTATGCAGTTTATATGTGTATCCTGTGTGTATGTGTCCATATGTATGGTGCTGCAGCAAAGGACAGCAGAGCTCAGAGCTTTAAAAGGCAGAGAAGAGAGATGGGGAGAGGGTGTATGGAGTCAGGTGTGGCTCATCCCAGGACCCATATGTGTGGGGGATCGGGGACTGGGGGGCAAGTACGTAAACATCTCACAGGATCACAAGCAACCGCGGCTTTTCCGCATCCACACTTGATGAGCGGTCATCCGGTCTCTCAGATTTACGCCTCTCCTAGCTTCCCGATTCACACATCAACACTGTGGGTGTGCCACTGTCCTGCCCAAAAGCTGCCCCTGCCAACTCCTGACTCCTGGCATCCCTATGCGCAGGTTCTGTTAGGTAAATGACCTTCAAATAAAAAGTAAAACAGATTCTGTAGTGTAGCAAGTTCTGAGGTCTTTACAGAATGCTCATAATTTAACCTTGATGACAGAGCTGTGTAAATAACCGTATTGTTTGTTAAACTGAAAAGACAGGGTTAGGCAGGGACATTTTCTGGCTGAGAGACAACTAACTCTCCATACCTGTTTTGGTCTTTTTAAATACATTCTTTTTAAGCCTGAAGAAGCATTAAGGGATCGAGAAAATGGTGCCAAGATTGAAATGTTACATATAAATGGTTCTTAGTTCATAAAAATATGCTCCAGGGGTGAATGGTGGAGACGCAGCCAGCCATACTGCGGAAACGGCTGACTCGTTGGCGCGGCCTACATGGGCGCTGAAAGAATAATTGTGTCCTGTAACACGAGTGGCTCTTAAAGCTGGACAGGCAGATCAGCACCTGCTTGTAACAAAATCTGGTGACTCTGGTTAGAGGGCCAATAAGGCCTTCAGAGAGGTAATTCTTGGGTTGATGAGCGGCCTTGGCTTTTCACACGCTCACCCTGATGCTCTGAGTTTATATACCCTGCTGGGTGGCAAATCAATGAGAAGCTACAAAATCACAAGCTAGGTTCACGGTACTACAAGGAATCTAACAGCCACTCTTTATCAGCTGAAATAGAGGTCCACAGCGTCAAGCCAGGAGACTGGAATTTGGAAGGCGAAATCATCTCACTGTCAAGGACCACTCTCTACCAGGATGGCTCAGCATTGACGCCATTCGCTGTGAATTGCCCCTCTTCTGCACTGTTTCACACAGGAGCTTGGTGTTAAATGATTTATATGCTTTAGCTGATAGCAGATGCATTACCCTGAAGCTTACCGAGTTTACGTAACATTTCATTTATATATTTCTTTATTTAGCGCTCTAAGGACATTTAATCTAAAGCCTTTTGGAAAAGGACAATTGTCCTGCTGTGAGTTTCGCCTGTCACAAATCCAGCCGTCTGAGCACTGCAGAACACTTACCGGGGCTGCTCTCTGTCGCCCTCCCCTGGCGGCTCTGGTAGGGCCGGGTGAAGAGGCGCATTTCAGTCCTTCCTGCTTGGCTCCTTCTCTAATGTAGCTCTGGCATCTGGCTGTCACTGCTCCTTGGCACGCCCGCGTCCCGAGAAGGGGACGGGCCAGTCAGGCAGCAGATCTGGCGTGCCCTGTTCGAAGGATCAAGGACACAATAAGACCATGACACCATCATCATTTATGACGCGATCGTCATTTTCAGGCTGTGTATTCTGGGTTTGGCTTCCTCCTTGTTTGGTGTTCCAGTACAACCAGGCTGAGTCCTGCTGTGAGCTCCCTCATTAGTTGCTGAGGGAGTGATTAAACTGGTACACACCAGTCGGCAGACACCCACAAACACACGTGGACACACACACAGAGGCACACTGGCATATATTGTAAGTCTGTCAGAAACAGGAGGAATGGTATTTGAAAAATAGCATGATGAATAACACATCATCGTGTTTCCTGGCAATACATGTACAACGCACTCTTCCAATGTGCACGTGCACACGTATGTGGACTGTCGTGTGCAGTGCCTGTCTATTACCTTATACATCACTGTGAGTTGTGTACAGTGGTGTAGGGGGAGGGGGCAGGTGGCAAAACCGACACACTCTCCTCCATGTCACACAAATGGACAGCAGGATCCAGGGCTGGCAGCTCCTCTCCTATGATCGTAACATGACTGATCAAGGTACATCGGCCTGTTCACATCCCCTGCAGGTTGGCTTAAGATCAGACCTTCACTGACATGAAGCCGGATGGCTAGTGGCTAGGGGCAGTGCAGTTCCGTTTGCTAACGGGCTTGCTGGCTTTTTGTGTGTGTGTGTGTGTGTGTGTGTGTGTGTGTGAAAGAGCAAGGGAGAGCCATAGTTTATTTCAGCGCGGGCTTGCTGCGAGGAGGCACTCCATGCCAGAGACTTCGCTGCCAATTTGAGGGACGAACCAATATGGGCTGGGCAGCCGTATCCCTCACCTTTATCACCACATCAGACGGACCCAACATGCACTCTTCACCCTGTCCCCTGTGGCTTCCTGCAACCCACCCACGCACCCCCCCCCCCCGTCCATGCCGTGTGTAAACATGCTGGTCACTGGGAGAGGCCATCAGAGTCTGGCCTGCCGGAGGTACCCACTGAGCATTACTGAGGTGGAGGTTTCCTCGCTATCTTCCCTGTGCTTGTCAAAGCTCAGCCTAACCAAAGAACCAATAGCGGAGCATCTCCTAAAGGTATTGCTGCTAAGAACAAGGAGGGCAGCAGGCCAGGCCTAGATAGCAGCTTGTAACCTGTCAGGCTCGGGCTAACCTGAGGGCCCAAAGCAGGGCAGGTTCCCTGTCCCAGAAGCCTGTGTAGGAGGACAGTGAAGAGTCAGAGGACTTCCTGTCTTGTGGGTTTTATTTATCAAACCTTGTCCCCTTTCCGAAAAAGAAGTGGCAATGCGGCATTACATTCTGGGAGACGCCACGTATACAGTGACATCCGCTCTCACACACGGCGTAGCAAACTGGAATGGAACCTGGCGCTCACCATGAGGCAAGGCCTGAGAGGGTACGATGCATGCAGCCGCTGGCTATTTATGCTGAGTGCCATCCTGCTCAGCCTTGCCTCATATAGGCATTTTCAATGCTCCCTGGTGCACTATCACCATCACGGAGGGGGGACAATGGAGAAGGAAAAGACGCTAAGGCTGCACTAGCAACTTCTGTTAGCATCACCCTGCAATATCTTGCTTATGTTTATATGGGAGGAGATCTACTGCAACCTGGCACATCCCTAGTGAAGCTTGGGAATAAGAGCGTGCCAGCAGCACCCTCCCTGTGAAAAAAATCAGCCCTTTGTCCCCCTGGGCTCAATCCTCTGCTGAGTGGTTGGTCCAGCCTGTTGCCTGTAGCCAGAGTGTTCTCCTCTGGCGGTCTCGCTCCCACCACCGCTGCATTCCCCTTTTGCTAGTGGCTTTTGTAGTGATTCATCCCCCTTCATTGTCCTCTTTTTCCCAGAAGCGGATGAGTGAAATCTGCCGTCACCTCACACGCTGCCAGTGCTCGTCCTTTGCTGAGCGGCTCGCTCTCCTCCTCTTCACGGCCTTCGCCGGCTTTTGTCGTGCTTTGTTTGGGGCGTGCTGCTGCGGCCGGTTAATTCAATTTCACAGATTAAGTACAGTGAGAGAATGGCTCAACGTTACTGATACCTAGGATTAGTGACCCAGCTTTGTTTTCCCAACAGCAGTGGTATAGAAAAACACCACATTTACCCGAGTCCTTCTCTGTGTGATTGGCCAAGAACTGACTGGCTCACACACAGGGAACAATCCCAGAATCCTTTGCCCAGCCCCTTCTGTGTTACCCACTCAGAACACTGTTCACCTCCAATGGACACAAATACTCTGGTGTCACATAAATACAGCACTGCCAATGTCATAGGCATGCTAGGGATTGGTGTAGATCCCCCCCCCCCACCACCACCACTTTGCTGTTTATAATCCCCTCTGAGTGAAATGCTGGTCCGCAAATAGAGTGTCCACATGACACAAGCACACATCTCCACACAATAAGCCCATACACATCCATAAAGGCATAAACACACACACACGACACACACACTTATGCTTTTGCAATGAACAGCACTCCCCTGCTTCCGCTTCAATGCACAGTCAAGCATGCACACCTCAGGTTGCGTCTGCTCTGTGTGTCTGACAAACACACACCAATGCGGATGCACGTGGTTGACAGTAGGAAGGGACAGACAGCAAGCAGGCATAATTCCACTTTCCCTGTATGAAACACAGCAGAAATCAATGCCCTCCAGTGATGCACCCCTTCCACTGCCCCCCAGTTCTGTGTGTGAGCTCTGGGACTGAATTCACTTGCTGATTGTATACCTTGCCTGCTGTCTCAATTTTTAGAATATTAGTGACAGATACAGGTGAAGAAACAGGCATGAGTACCTTCCAGCTGCAGCGAGGAGGTACTGAGTTAGAAGTAAGAGGAGAACAAAAGCACTAGGCCCTGTAACATCAATAATTGAGAGCATCCTTCTTCACAAAGGGAGGCCAGGGCTAGAACGGAGCAGAGGCATGCAACAGTGTGAGTGTGTATGTATTTGTGTGTGTGTGCGCGTGTGCGTGGTGTCAGCCCCAGATGAGATCCAAAAGATGCACTGTAACACCCCCCACCCCAACACAGCAGATACCACGTCCAGCTCTGCAGGAAGTAGGATGGTATATTGTACTGTTGTTGTTCTTGCATTTTTTTTTTTTTTTTTTTTTGGAAGAGACATACTGAGATGGGTGTGTGCGCCATTTCTTACAGTGAGAGCTGGTGCCTTAGAGCATAGGGGCAAAATGAGCGAATTATTTACATTCGGATTCAGGTCAACGTTTTTGATCTGTCAAGGATCGGTCCTTTGGGTGTTTCAACTGTGAATCACATGCCTCCGCATCGCGGTGCCGAAACACACACATACAGGCACACGTCTCTTGCTTACTGGCACACATGCATGCACACACACACACATGCTTAGAAACACAGACATATATAAGAATGCAAAATGTCTTTCACACACAGATGAACACATGAATATAGAATACAATCCTCCGTATATCTCTTATATAAACACACAACCACCTTTTGCTTTGAGTCTATTTCAGAAACCTTACATGATACTCTCTCCCACTCGTACACACACATAACGGCATCACCCGTTTATAATTACTGCTTATATTAGATGACAGCAATTTGCCTGATAATCACACAATAAAACGTCATAAATCTATTTCATATTATTTCTGCTCAATATCTGCCAATCTACCGAAGACAAATCAGTCAGTGGCAACAGTCATTAAGATTTATTTGTGCTCGACCATTTATCCGGTGTAACAATGAATTTGACATTCTTGTGGCTCTACACGGCTTTTACTTTTACTTTTTACTTTGGAGGGTCCAGTGAGACCGTCTGCCTTCCAGCCAAATACCTTTACACTTAACGGCACCGAAGAGACAAGGGAGCCGAACGGGCAGGGACTCTAACGCACTCACCGTCGTCCGATATCGCAATCAACAGCCGCTGTATTAGTCCACCAAGACAAAGAAAATGGAAGGGGAAAATGACAAGCAAAACAAAAAAAAAATCAAGTTTAATAATCCTCTCGGTCTAAACGGCAGGAAAGCTTCTTGCTGTCAACCAGAAAAAAAACAAGTCGATTTAGAAAGGCAAACTTGACAGTACGGAGTCCGATTTGCGTCCAAGTTAAATCCTCCGAATTACAAATATTTGTTGCCAGGAGCGTCGGCAGAATGATTTTCTCAGTCCTTTCCCAGTGCCTCCCCAGCCCGGTCCCAGCGGCAGTTTCCAGTCACCCGCTCCGGCGGCTCACGGCAGTGCTGCGCGCGGTAGCGCCGCGTGATTCGTCTCGCGCTGCTCCCTGCTGCTGCGTTTGTGATTCCAGCGCTTCACATGCACGCGGGATGCTGCGTGCGTGCGTGTGTGCGCCAGTGAGTGCATGCGCCTGTGTCTCTGTGTTAATGTATGTGTGTTTTCCTCAGGCTATCTGTGACGGCGAGCCTGCGCCGTGTGTGCTGGGGTTGTCATCCGTTTGCATGTGCATTCAAGCATGTTGCATATGCACGTCGGTGTGTGTGTGTGTGAGTGCGCGCGTGTGCGTGAGTGTGAGGCTTCACTGGTCAGAGATAGTAATGTTGGAGGAAGCTGCTGTCTGAACCCATAAACTGAGAGGGAGATAGAGAGAGTGGGAGGGGGAGATCAGCTGATACAGCTCAGGACCTCACAGAGGATGAGATGCTCCCATGGAATAGGCTACCCAGCAGAGTCTTTCCCCCTGTCTTTCGCTCTCTCTCACTCATCCGTTCAAACAGACTGACAAAAGCGGGCCGCTTTTGCCGTTGTGTGTTTTTTTCTCTGTTCCTACCTCAGCAGGATAGCTTTGCTTTGGGAGGGGTGAGAAGGTTGACTGTTCATGTTGAAGTGAGAGAGAGTGTGTCATTGAGGAGAAGTGGGATGTGCTTTAACCATCGGCTCACAATATCCTTGCTCTCCAGGGTAGGAGGAAGCGACAGACAGAGAGGAGAGGCAAGGAATGGAGTAATCTCCATTCTAGAAACAAAAGCACGCGGAGTGTTGTGTTAGGGAACAAAAGAAAACTGAGCGGGGGCACGATGTTTAGAAATGAGAGCTATTAATTTGTGTGCCACTGATACCGGGCTACATACAACAGGACACTGTGCTTGGGTCTGGTGTCAGAAAGCTAAAGTCCAGTGGAGTCCTAGAGACAAGCCGTTGTTGTACCTTAGTCTATTAATTGCTTTTGCTGTTGTCACCGTTCAGTGGCTCAATAAATGATTTTATCAAAAAGCTATGCAGAGTTCCACGTTTTTATTTATTAACCTGGTGGAAAATTTTCACTGATGCCGCCCAAGTATGTTGAAAGGTATTAACACAACCACATACCTAGAGAACTTAGCTAGCAGCATGCCAGTCATAAGAATGTTTTCTTAACTACTTTTATTTTTTAACAATAGCCAATTATTTACCTTTTTTATGCAATATTTTGCCAGCGAAATTTCTACATTTTTAACCACAGTAGTGTACATATTTTTATACTAACAGTATCCTATTTCTGATTCTGATTCTACCTCTCAAAGCATTCTCTGTCTTGTTATTTTACTCTCATTTTATTGGCACAAGGCGTACACGTTTTGTCACAAGGATGAATGCATAGGCTTTGCACCGGAATGTATAATGAACGTGCAAAGGGTTAAAAGTCAGGGAGGAGTCTGCTTCAGTCATACCGCTGTCTCACCAAGCATCCGGTATGCAATCAGGATGCAAATGGCCTCGTCGTAGGACAGAATGAGGATCCACAGTCCGCGGGGATCCACTATTCCACTGCAACTAAAATGTTAATCTCAGCCTGTTTTGCCAGCTTGGCTGAGACATGCTACGGCAATTTTCATTAGTATTCCCCTCAAATTATAGGCTCAGGTGGAATGTAGTGTTGCTTACTGGGGGCTGCTGTATTCTTCCATGTCGGGTTTCAGTATGACAGGGATTTTCACCATTGAGTTATACATCTGCTGCTACCTGCAAGTTTATCTTAAAAAAAAAAGAAGCTCAAAGTGAAATTGTTCCTACTTTAACTGTAATTACTTTCATATTGAGCTTCAGGAAGCTCTCAGTCAGTATCCAACTAGTCCAAGATCAGCTCTGTTCCAATTAATGGGTAGGTGCTGTTAATTTGCATGACTGCATCCCAAACACCATCTAGTCCCTTAAGAGAGGTGACGGCATAATAATTTGCCCTTTCCCCTGGAAAATAACCATTCTCAAAAAAGCCTCTTGTGCATTTCATGTTTGAATATACAAAAGATTTTGAATCTATGAGATTTTATTGAAATTGTGTTGTAGTTATGCAAAAAGGTAATGATTCACTATCTTCAGTTACATCTCCTCCGGGTTTATTTTGCAGTACAGATGACAAGCAGGTTTTGAATTGCTGCTTAGAAAGACAATGAAGTGAATGAGAAGAATTTTCTCAGGTTTCGAAATGGATTTTCATGTCACCCTGACTGGCTTGACTAGTTTTCTGAGTCTCGCATGTGGCTCTGGAGCCATGCTGCTGCAGCGCCCTCTTCATCATTGCTCTTCATACAGTTCGTCGTGGAGCAGGGAAGCCTGCTTAGTTTGACTGTTTCAGGCCTGGTTTGGGCTGGCTTACTAGTCAGAGCAGTTGACTGGGTAGCTCCACCCCCCGCATCCCCAGGCAGACGACACTGTGGATGAATCACGTACCGTCTATGTTTGTACACACCATATAATCAGTTTACTGCCAACCCAACATCCGCTCATTGACACAAGCAGCAGTGGATCCTTAATGACTGCCTCAGCAGCCTGTTAGGCTACATTGTCTGAGCCTGGCAAATAGATTACAGTCATCGCCTAATAAGCACTACATTTTCATGTTAATAGTTAATGATATCCTTTACTTCTCCATCTTTCATTTCTATCCAAATATCCCACTGATCCATGACCAGTTTAAAACAAATTTACTGGAACTATAATTGAGGACAATGCACGAAATACCATAGGTGCTAGTTTAGTGCCTTGAGGAACACCGCCCACTATTCCACTTGTACTGTGTTAATCCTATTTTTCTTTGTTTTTCTGCTAATTTGGCTTATTTTCCATCCTACTTTTATTTTAACATGAAATATTTATTTTTTTCTCACTAAGTCTGCCTGTCTTCCATGTGTCAGTTTTTGCATCCTGTCATCGTCCCTTGCAGTGGAAAGCAATTCGGATTCCTTCGTTTTGCCATAAATATTAGTGCTCTAATGATACTGCAGTGCGAGAAGCTCCAGCAGCACGTGGGTCTCCTGACAGGTTTTTTTTTAGTTGCTGCAGTTTCACCGCTCATCATCTGACAAGGGTTTGCTCTCCTTATAAAATCCTGTTTATCATCAGGTTTTGTAAATTACTGCTTTTTAAATAAAAATGATCAATTTGCAAGTACAGCCCCAAGTTATACGGCCAAACTCTGTCCATGAAGAGAACTGGATATTTTTTATGTGTGCTTTCTTAAGGTACAGTAATTGCTATGATGAACTACCTCTTCCTTCGGTTTAAATGTCAGTACACAGAAAGCATACAATTTAAGAGCATTTGGTAAAAAAGGACATGGAAGACATTGCTCATTTATCTTTCTCCAGAAGAGAAAGCAGTCCTGACACCGCAGTGTGAGAAAATCATTATATATTTGGCTGACTGATGGCCGAGAAAAACAGATTAAAGTTTAACGTGCCACATAATGCCCATGGTTTTAGCCTTGTGTTCTGGCCAATTAACCATGATGGACTGCAGTACACCAGCCATAAAGCTGGACTTTATGCAGGGAATGTGGGCAAAAGGATTTCTAATAATATATATGTTAAATAAGACACAGTGATGTATATAAGTATGTATACAAAGCCAGCTTGTGAGCAATACCTTAGTATTCCATTAGAGACCAAACGGAATTGCGTCACGCATCCACGGCTAAGCTACCAATGCAGCCCTGCCGTTGATGTTGATGCACAGGACGAGACCACATTTTTATGTCACCTGAGGCATTTCCAGATTTCAACCCCCCCCCCAAACTCCACCTCCCGGGGACCTAACCTGCATGTTCGGCTTGCCATTTTACCATAACGGAGTCATGTGCCGGGCAGCCGGCTGTGTGAGTCTGCGCCACATCTGTGCGGAATTTTAATTTGGAGAGCGGGGCCCTCCATGTACCCGACCCGCTCTGTGTGCAGGGAACACGGCTTTCTTCGCCCAGTAAACATGGTTCCCTGTGCCTGAGGTGAACATGGCTTCCTTGGTGTGGCAACCAGGGAAGCCTAATGTTAATGTGCTGCGTGTCTCCAATCTGTATGCATTTGTGTGTGAGGGCAACCATAAGAGAGCAACTGCATATGTTTGAGTGTGTCTGTGTGGCTAGCTTATTAGGTACACCTGCTTGCTTACCCAAACAGCCTGCTCCTCCAGACAGCCAATCATGTGGCTAAATACACACAGCAGAGGTCCACTTCCTGTTTGGATAATCATTAGAATGCAAAGATGTGTGATCTAAGAGATCTTGAATGTGGTTTGATAGTTGGTGCCAGACATGGTTCAGGGCATCTCAGAAACAGCCTCCCTTCTGAGATTTCCACACATTACAGTGTCTCGAGTTCACAGAGGATGATTCGGTGAACAAAAACAAACGACCAGTCCATCTCATTTTGGTCACCAAAAACACCTTGTTAAAGAGGGCAAAGGAGAATGGTCAGGCTCATTAAAACTATCAGGAAAGCCACTAGTGCAAACAGCTCAGTAAAACAGTGGTGTACAAAGGCATCTCGGAATGATTCTGGAGACAAATGGGGTCCTGCCTTGCACTAGCTAGGTGTACCTAATAAAGTGGTCCACCTAGCTAGTACATTGTACATGCACGTGGGTGTGTGCCTGTATGCAGATGAGTGGGTGAACTGCACCCAGGATTCTGGTACCTCTGAACCTCTTGTGGGCGAACGGAGGTGGGTCTTTGTCTTTCTTTCATCAGAAATAAAATCTGAAGCATTCTTCAAAAGTGACTAAGATCGCGTGGGCGTAGAAACCTGATTTACTTACATATCTCTTTGCAGAATACATTTCCTGTGCAAATAAAACTGTGGGCCTTCACTGATTTAATAAAACAATACTGGAATATTATTGGAAGAAAATGAAGGGCAGCATTCAGTGATTGCTTGAAAATGCTTATGCATTTCAAAGGCATGACGAAAGACATGACGTAGAGGACTGTGGTCAAGGGCTGTGTTCTTCATGACAAGTCGCTTTAGACCAGCCGTCTTTAATGACTTTTTTTTACTGTTAAAATTATGACAGCTGATGAGCTGATTAAACTGTCCATTCTTATGCAGGTTTGAGTAATTCAAGAAGTGAAAATTCTGAAGATCTGATCAATGGCTTTCTGTTAAATTTTAATGTGTCTTTTGCATCTAAAGCTCATTCAATTCTAGATGAATAATTGAGGCCAGTAAACCGAAGCCTTGGACTCTGTGACGTTTTCCATGCTGCCGTATAATGAGAGCAGTAATGAGCTTCAGTTTTATTGGCCTGTCCAATCAAAGATCTTTAAATGGTTATCCCATTTTGGGGGGGGAGTTCAAGACAGGTTGGCATTATCTATCTTTCAACTGCTTATCCTGTTCAGGGTTATGAAGGGGCTGGGAACCTCTCCAAAGCAACACAGGGCACAAGGTGGGAAAACACCCTGGTGTTGATGTCAGTACATGCAGTAATGTATATGCTATTCTTAACATCACCCAAGGCACTTACACAGGGGTCTCTCTGACACGTGCAAAGCACAGTAATGACAGGGAATGAGTGCTTGACTGTGCACAAAGCCACTGTGTTCCCTGGAGTCCGCTCGCACACGTGCGGTGCCAAAAGGGTGCTCGAGGCTGCCATGGCAACACATGACACCGTCCATTAGAATGCCTGCATTCTCGGGTGTTCTCCCAGAACGCAGGTGGTGAGGTGGACACCAGTGGGGTTAGCGTCTGTACAAGAGTGTCACATGGCTGTCTGCTGCTCTAGAGGTGATGTCAGACGAGGTACTGATATTTGCCTTTGTTTCCAGAGCAACAGGAAGAAAGAGGGAGAGAAATAGCAGGGCTGTAGCACAGTGGGCATGTAGACCTTCCTGATTCCTGGTACTAGTGGTACCAGGTGGTTCCAAACCCATCCACTAAGTGTGGCAGCACATGAGCGGTGAGCATGACTCCATGGCAGTCGTTGCCACGCCGTACTTTCAAATCACAAATTATACCATCGCACTCTGGAGCACAGTGAATAACACTGAGGTAAATCTGTCTGTTCTGTCACAAAAGACAGAAATGTGTTGCTTGTAAAAACGAGAGGAACGACCAAGGGTAATTTGGACTGACCCTGCAAGCTGAGAGAGACTCCGCAAGGCTACAAGACTGCCCGTACAAGCAGGACGGACTTCTGAGCGCGCAGCCTTTAAAAGTCACTTATTGTTATGGGAGGCTGGGGAAGCAGCAGGCTCTGTGTAACACAGAGAACGCGAGGTGGGACATCACCGCGAAAGGCACAAGTCGCAGTTTCCCAGCTGGAGCGCTGTGCATGTGAGAAAAAGCGTGCGTGTGTGTGTGTGTGTGTGTGTGTGAAGGTGATTGAGAAAGAGTCATAAATACACAAAGGAAGACTAAGGAGCCATTGTTCAATGAGTCACAGCTATACCAACAGCATAGATGGATGCACCCAGCCAGTCCATGTCCAGGTACATCCCTTGCCTCGGGTGCGAGCAGAGAGGTCATGTATTCCACATACCGATTTAGGGGAAAGAACAAGCATCTCCATTTCAGAACCGCATTCAGGTTGACGGGCTGCTGGTTCACGACGAGAAGGTGTCACTAATTAAAGTTCCGGTGTATAGTGCCATGTGCACTCCAGCTAGTGGCATGGTAACAATGATTTGGAAAGCCCTCAGCTGCTAGGCCACCGGGCCCCAGGAAAAGTGAGACGCCCCGTTTCCGTTTTCTTCCAGTGCTCTCCTTGTGCACCCAATTACAGCCTGAACTCTGGAGGAGGTGCACCAGCCTGGTCTGAGGGACCGCTCAAAGTGTGACAGAGCGCTGGAAGAGGGAGAACCGGCTGTGCCGTGCGGCAGACAGGTCTCTCCGGGGGAATCTTCCACTGAGAAAACCCCACCCCCCCCCCCCCCCCCCTAGCCCCCGCCTCCCGGCGAGCACCACTAATGACTCCAGTAACTGAATGTTATACGCATGGGTTTACATTGTTAAGCAAGATACCATGACCTGTCACCTGGATTTTAAATACACGTGAAAGGTGAAAAGGTAATGACGTTAGTTTGTATGTTGTTGGATATCTCCAGGTCAAATTGCACAGGCACGACTGATGCTTTTAAAAGCTTTTTTGTTTCTGGGGACACGTTTGCCAAGAGTCACTATTCTTAATTTTGATTCCCTACCAATAAATACACAAGTCACTAAACGGTCAGTCAACACGACGTCTTACATTATTAACTGCTAGCAGATCAAAGGCAGCAGCTGCATCAGGAGACCAGAAACAAATAATCTGATAGGTGATACATTTGCAGTATGTACTACCGCCGAGCGAGTGAATTAAGCTAGGCACAAAAATAGACGGTGGCTCCGAGAAGGCAGGCCCACGGTGCGAAATCAACCCCCTATTTAGGACGCGAGGCGCGAATGCCGGCGACTAGCTCAGGGTCGCTGGCAGCGGGGGGGGGGGGGGGGGCGCTGGGTGCCGTATGGGTTTGGGATGATAATCCTTTTCTCACGGCCGCTGATTAAAACCAGTGTGAAGAAAGTCCTGCTGTTCTGGGCTGCTGTTGACTGTGATGTTTTCCGGGGGGGTTGTTCTGTGTACACATGTATATTTTAGCAGGCCTGTTTAAGGCACGCTTTCAACAGCCTCTCCTTTCCCTCCACTCCACCCCAAACGGAGAACAACCTGATATACGGCGCCTTTAAATGTTTGCTGAAGCCGTATGGACATCCTTATAAAATATATAAGTGGAAAGTGGGAGAATTAGTTACCTGCCACAGGTACGCACCGGGGGGGAACTCGATCCCCCAGGTATAGAAATAATCCGTCGCACCCGCGACCAGGCAGGTATCAGGCTGCACGCGAGGACCCTCCGACCCAACAAGCTGCACGGGTTTGCCCTTTTCCATCTGGGCCATTGCGCCTCAAAGAGAGGTGAGGTGGCTCACTATCCAAATAATTACCACGGCAAAGCAGGTTACCGGCTGAGAGGAATCCCTGGTACCCCGGGGTCCTGGTTTAGGTGAACCGCTCCCTGGCACAGTGATACAGCAGGGTCTGTTCCTCAGCCCTTAGGAGAGCCACTAATAAATCCACCGCACTCCTACTGTGTTGCCCTTTTTAACATTTTTCACCTGTATTTCTGCATTTTATGCAGCTAGTTTCAAAAGTATTTTGAGACCTTCCAAATTCTGCAGAATACATGAGGGGCTCTTATTTTTCAAGCAGCAGAGGTCTGATAGATCACACATTTCCCTGTGCTTTAAAACAATAAATGATTCATGGCCAAAAATCAATCAGAATTTCAAGCTTGCTCTTTATTAATGGAAAAAAAACTGTTTTTACTTTACATATAAAATTACTTCTGGCTCAATTAGATTAATTGATGAGATACTTTAAATATATTTGCCAGCAGCCCCTTTAGTCCTCTCCAAAGACAGGGAAGCCCCTTTGCATCATCTCCAGATATATGGCACATTAGTGGTTAATAACTCGTGTGTTTCTACAACTGGGTTCTGATGCAGACATTTTCCATAAAATTTTTAAATACATTTACTTTAATACCAACTGCCAAAACAAAGAGTTTATCACTGGTAAATCCAAGAGCAGCAGGGAGCCTCATCCATTACAAAAAGCATGTCACATTTGTGGTAATTTAATCAACTGTTTTGTCCTTTTGTCATTTTCATCCTTTTGTCATTTTTCAGGAGGCTTCTGGGTCTCAGATCCTTTCTGTTCTGTCCTGCTGAACATCCTCTATCTTCAGAGAGCACTTTGTGCAGAAAGGTTGTGAAATATTTCAGCTGTCTTTCTCACCCATATCCCGCAGCTCCAAACAAGACTGGAAATGAAATGCAGGGAGCCACACAAAATGTAGATTATCATTCATCTGATGTCCACAGGACTCCCGCAAGAAGGGGACCTAATGGATCTCCAGGAATAACGGCAGTCGTTTTTAACCGCGCTGCTATAGTGCCAGCCTTTTGAAACATGTAGTCAGGTTGCCCCCCTAAATGCCCTCTGACTGCTGGGGCAACACAAATCACACAGAGGCAATTTCTGAGAAGTCACCAGGGATTCCATCTCTCTTGGTTTCCAGCCCATTTTGTCACCAGACATTTTGTCACAAGCCTTGAGACAAAAATCCAAAGTGTTACAGAACAGACGGTATTTTTGTCTTTTATATGTAAGGTCAGATTATCTATCATGGCTTTTGTTGACTTGAAAGTCCTGCCATTCATGGTCGGTTGTATCACGACAGATGTACAAACACCAGAATTCATCTTAAAAAAGGAATTTGGTTCTTGACACAGGTAAATGAACGAGCAATGCCTATGAATAAATACGACCTGTTCCTACCGAAAAACTAGAGCCTTCAGTAGAACAAAAACATCTCTGAGAAAATCGTCTTTGACATATCGTCGCCGTGCCAAGTCGTTTTCTCAGCATGCTCACTGAGGAGGCTGCCTTCCCAGGGATCATGTCTGGTGTGCGTTGTGTGATAACGAGGGTGGACAACTTCTCAGACTTTTACATAGGTGGTGAGTAGGCTGAGCAAAAGTGCCTTACCTATGAGGCAGAAAGCGGGGGTTGATTCAGTCCCAGTGATTTCTTCATCCGCCATCCTAACCCCCACCCAAAAAAAGGAAATAATCATGAATTCATTTTAATTTCACCCCTGGAGCGAAACCGTAGAAGAGATAGACCTCCATATTCAAATGATCTAATTTGCATCCCTGTACTGCATGTGATACGTAAACTCTGACATCAAGGAGTGCAAAGCTAGTGCATGTTCAACCAATTCTGTAGCCACTGCACAGCACAAATGGCGGGTTCCAGTGCTGGGGGCCCCGGATATAGCTGGTGGCGATCCAGCACTAACACAATTGCCCATACATCAAAGGCCACCACCATCAGAATGATACACTTTGCTAACAGGTGCTGTTTTATAGTTTGCTGGTCAGTGCTTGGCTAAAATGTGCACAGACTGTATGTTCACATGTAACCTAATGGCAAGACTGATCAGGATAATCTCATTTGTGATGTAAATGGAAACAGTGGCTTGTAATTATCCCACCACGCTGATCCAGGTGAATGTTCATCACCAACAAAGAATGTGTTGGTTGTTTCATTTGCCTTGAATCTGTCAATGTTTTAGTTTGTTCTTTGTTCTTTTTAATTTGTTTTGTTCAGAAACCCATTTCTAAGTCACTGCTGCTGTCAAATTAACAATACGAGAAACGAATGAAAGGAAGCAAAGGGAAACAGCAGCTATATATCGAAGGCCCTCTCCGCAATAACAAATTTCATCACAATCCACATTCTGTGCCTCGTGATGTATATTTAAACATCACCTTGAGACATTAGCACAGCAAATGTATGGATGTCCTTTCAGCATGGACATGCTTAAATGGCTAACTTACTGGAAAAGAAGTTCCCCCAACCGCTGAAATGACATGCAATAAATAGTGGAAACTTTTTATTGATGTGGACAGGGAGGGTCCATTTGACAGTAGCCACTTGCTTTCAGTAGAGAAATTCAGTGTCACGTAATTTTGTGGTACAATTAAGCGGCTGGCATGGACACCCATTTTTAAAGCGCTGTATAAAAGCTAGACAGAGTCCCCTACCCCACCACTACAGAATACATACATCAGAACATAATGGTTATGCGGTCGCCATCATTAAATATTTTTCAGGAAACTGTAGTAATACACTATGCCTGTCAATACCATAAAAGATGGCTGAAAGACTGGGACAGGGAAAAGTCAGTTGACAGTACCATTCATTCTCTTGTGTCTGAACACCAGCTATATCAAATGGACTTTCTTTGTCTCTTGGTTCCAGATCACATGGTCTACCCAGTTTCAGCCCTTATCAAGCCTGTTGTCTCTTCCTTCGGTATGCCTTTTCCGGAAGCCAGGATGGCTCCTTCTCTCCAGTCCTCTCCTCCTCTTTTTATTTAACTCATACCCTAATAAAGTCCCCATTCCCTCTTCCGGTCCCCTTCTCTCCGTTCACTGTCTCTCAGTTCCGTTTTGGTTGCCACCTTGTCTGCTGCCTCCGCTAAACATTCCCTGCTGCCTGTGCTCAGGTTCCCGAAAAAGCAGGTGGGATCATTTTTACCCCGGGCCCACGTTACGTAAGGGGCCTGTTAAATATTTCACACAGAGCAGGCGCAGAGGCTGCGTGGCTGCACAGCCCCACACTAATGCATGTTTGGATAACGCCCCCGACGCAAAGCTCCACAAGCCTTTTCTTGTTTTTTTTTTTTTTTTGCGCACATGCCACCCGCAGCCAAGTTCAACAACAGATGGCAGTATGCATCAGTGAGGCTGGCCGCTCTTTCATCGACAACTGGATCTAGTCATTGCCTTCCACATCTCCAGAGTACCAACCCCCTGACCTCCAGCCCTGGTGACAAGGGTCCACGTCAGCTGAGGCTCTTCCAGGCAGCTGCCAAGATTATAGGTCGAGTGACTAAACTACTGCCCCGGCCAGTGAGTCCTTTTGTCCTGACAGTTAATGCCAAAGAGCGTTTTTTAATTCTTCCTAGATAATCAGTGTAAATCAGCTTTTTCCTCCATATTTTTATTATTATTAGGTGGCTTTGAGTCCATATCGACTCCTGGCGCCTATTCAGATGGCATTTCTCCAGAATGTTCTCAGGCTTCCCAATGGCATACCTACTTCAAAACAAATGGACAGGCTGGACTGTCCAGCCAAATTTCATTATTCCATAATTAGACATTCTTGCAATTCCATCTGGCACCAGGTAGTGCTGTACCAAAGGCCATAAAAGGGACAGGTGCAGGGTGGACGCGACGTGCATCCTCATGCTAAAGTTTAGTGCAAATCTTAATAGTGCTTAGGCCCCACAATCTGTCATATGACAAATTATTCTGACCCTCGATCTTATATCCTCATCCCCAGCAAACGGATATTAAGAGCAGAGACAGCCAAGGCATTAGCATGAAATGGCAACAGAGATGGTCTGTTGCCTCCGATAATAATTCCTCAGCTAAAATTTTCTTTCCTTGTTGGGTGGCTAAAGCAAAGAACCGAGGCAGAGGTCCACATACTTCCTGTTCTGGACTGTACTTTTGTGGCAAGCAGTACTAACATTGCAGGTACTTGGAGACCCCAGGCAAGGTCTCAGGTGTTTCATCGTGGTTGGTTTCTGCACACTTTCTCAGAGCATTGCTGACGATCCCTCTCACCGGGCACGCCTTACAAAGCACACACGCCCAAAGTGTTTATCTTTCAAGTCACATAATATGGATGATGCCTGTTGTTGTTTAAAGCAAATAGTTGGACTCTAGTTGTGTTTTAGAGCAAAAAGATAATCCGCATATCTGTGAGAATTTCTGTGAGCACATTCAGCACAGTATTAAGCAAATGAAGATTGCCAATTCGTGTAAGTGGGCAAAGAAGACCGGAATGATTTAGGGATGCAATTAAACTTGCCTAGCAAATACAAGTCTCTCTCTGTCATAATCGTTTTAATCTGAAATTCAAATACCGGGGGTGATTAAGCCCTGGGAATATAAATTGTCAGCAGTGAGCTTAATGAACTAATATCCATCTGGCTAACTGTCTCCAAGATACCAATCAGACAAATGGAGTGTCCACCTATTGTCATCACAGAACACCGCTGTCATCACAGAACACTGTTGTTACCACAGAACACTTGAAGTTGGATTGGCTGGTATAGGGGAAGCTAATAAATCGGCATTAACAAGTCTTAAACCATTAAAGTGTTGACAGAGGGTGGTGGACAGGCATAAATATTGGGAAAAGGCTATTTTGGTATGTTTGAGCTAAGAGGAAATGAAATAGAAACAAATGGAAGACAGTCTGACTGCCTACAAACAGGTTGAATTGGAGAGTGCTCTCTCTTTACAGTAAGTCTGTTCAGGTTGCTTTTCCAGGAATGACTTCGTTGATGTCTAGGGATCCATAGCTGCAGGGGGGGTTGTAAAACCCTGCCCTAATCAGTTGGATCAGTTTAATTAGCTTCTTCTCCACCTACGGCCTTGACAAACTTGCGATCACATCTCCCACAGCCATGATAACGACAGGGACATGAATGAACGCATTACCCCTTAAGGTATTTATCAGGAAAAACATATCAAGAACAAGGTTGGTTCTTCTGGTTATTACTTAACAAAAGTTCGAATATAGCTAAGTTATATAGCTGTAGGATGGCAAACGATGTGAGCAGGGTGAAGGAAGGAACAGGATGAAAGATTTCAGTGGGATTCCAGGAGGCTGGGAGGAGGGTTCTTATGATGCTGGGGAAGATGCGGAGTCTGTACCCTTGGCTGGGACATCCAGATTCCTAACGGTACCATCCTGTGCACTACTTACCTTTTTAGCCACTTAATCTGGTCCTCAAAATCCACCTCCCGCCCCCACCCAGAGAAAAAAACAAGATGAGGCCATAGACGCTTTGGTTTTATGTTGAGCTCCTACCCCCCCCAGGGTTCCATTAGTCTTGTGACCTTCAAGGCTATGTGTGTGGTGGGGAGGGGTTACTGTCCTAACCTGATGGCCAGTGACTCATGTTTGCACATTAGAATCAAGGCCTCGTGCTCAAGGTCGCCCCGCCAGTCACTCTCGCAGAAACGCTTCATAATGCTGAGGTCCTCTGGTAACACGCCCAGGCTGCTTTGTTAAGTTCCTTAGCAGAGCAGCAGAAAATCGTTAAAATTGCACCACTGAGCTTTCATTTTCCACTTTACCTGCCTGTTTTCTTGCCAAAAAAAGGAATATGATACTTGTTTGCTGGCCATGCACTTATCAACCGAGGCCCAATCGTTTGCCATCTCTCTCCGCAGCAATCGGGGTGCAGATGACGCTGGACATGTTGGAGAAGAAGTTCTGGGCGACAACCAGACAGGTACACCAGGACTGAGAAGCGGGAGTTAACTGGTTGAGAGATTACATCTCTGACATCCACATTTTTTGCTCTCCTAATGGGCATAGAAGATGTAAATGAAACAAAACATGTCACTCACATTGTCCAGTTGGACACACACAATTCACTTTTCGTCCCTAGCCAACCTGTGCACAGAGGACAGCTTGCTCTTCTGTGGCATCATGACATTGATGACTGTCACCAAAGATATAATCTTTTAAATTGAATCCTTATCAGCACTCTGCCCTTAAGGTCAAAGTAGCACAGGAATATTTAATCAATATGTTAATTAAAACTGATGTATGCCTTGACCAGCAGCAAAATCAAAGGAGTATAACAGTATAACAGTAGAAAGAAACTGGGCTGTCCAAGTCAAATAAGTGTTGGTCTTATGAGGCTTCCTACATGAAAAAAGTTTGATAGGCAGCAATGTGATGGCCTCTAGCATGAACACTGGCGCTGATTTAAAGCTACACTTTTCCATTCCGTTTTGGCATCATTATGACCTGCCTATGTAGTGTCTGCTGAAAACTGAAAAGTGATCACTTTTCGAAAGGGGAAAAAAAAATTAATAAAATAATCCGATCCTTTAGGACACAACGTCAGCGCAAATTAGAAAAAAGTGTGAAGTGCAAAGATGAGGAATGAGGCAAGCAAGCCTTCCGTCTGTATTACCTTAATGTGATGCGTGTGAGCCAAAGCAGGCTCAGATAAGGCGGATATTTCTGGAGTATCCTGCAGGAACATTAGTTGTATGACTAATGTTTCCACTGCTTATTTTACCCCTGTGTACACAAGAAATGTGTCCAAGGTCACACGTTATTTTGTTTAACATGTATTCAGCAGCAGTGTCAGCGACCCGTGAAGATCCACATCGCGCTCAGCGTCGATCTTGGATGCCGATTATGTTCTCAGTGAGATGTGCGTCTGTGGGAGAAACGATGTCTAGTCTGTTGGCTGCTCGTCTTGCACAGCAGGCCTGAAATGGACGCACACAGTAGGCCTGAAATGGACGCTAGGTACACAGTAGGCCTGAAATGGACGCACACAGTAGGCCTGAAATGGACGCTCAAAGACGGTCCAGGAGTGTGTCGCAGGAATTGAGCTGTTTGTTTGCATTTCCTAACATAGTGAGAATTCCTTTCGGAGGAATGTCGAATTCCGAGGCCATAAAGAGCTCGTCTGACCCCCATTCAGATGTTGCTCCACTGATTCTGAGTGTGTATAAATGTTCAGCACATTTTGAGAGCCTTAATGGAAAATCAGAGTATAAAGATTTTATTAAATTAATTTATATTCCACATGTGTAATTATTATTAAATATTCATCGTTAAAATATTCAAGCTTCCAACAATTTGAGAATATGCTAGCGTATTAAGCAAATTCCACATAGTGTAAGGGATAAGCTGACATGGTGTACATTTTATGTAATCATCTTACTACTTTGAAATCTGCCATCTTTTATGATTTTCGTTACTATAAGTACAGGGAGTATAATTCCTTCCCATTTTTAGCTCAAACTTTGCAATAGAAGCACATTTCGTGAAGGACATTTTTTCCTCTTGCACAAACAGTTTTTGGTTTGTTTAAAAAATTAAGACTAACAGGAAATCAGGCAAAGCCCCGCTACCTCTGAATCGGAGAGACACCCCCAGCCCGTCTTTTAATGACTAAGGGAGATTTAAGGCACGTCACTTAACCTTTGAGGCCTTTAGCTTGTTCCGTGCCAAACTCTATCAATAAATCTTGCCAGTATTCAGACCCTGCTTACAGACTGCAGTCCGGATTTTCTTGGATCACACTTTGTACCCGTTGTTTTAGATCTTGGTTCATTAAACTGCAATTCTGCAGTTCTGTCCCTGATCAATGTTGTTATAATTAATAACAAAACCGGGATGGGAAAATTACAGCAGATACAGTATACATATTTTAAAAGAATATTACAAATTAACAGCTAAATTGTCATTCAGTTTTAGTTCTTATACCTGGTGTAAGGATGCCTAGTACTGTAAGAAGTATAATATAGCAATGTTAATGTTAATGGCATTGCCTGGGCATTCCTACAGTAATCGCAGTTTACTCCACCTTGGTGATAAGATCTGTTTATCTAGACACACGAATGGCCTAATTAGGGTGAAAGGATTGCTATTGGAATTTGTTTGCGTGTCTCTCCTACGCCAAACAATGCTGTGACAAAATGTTCCATCTCATTGTCATGGACCTGGTAGATCGGAATTAATGTTTAATTTTAACAGGTCTTTCTCTTTGTTTTCCCCCAATCTCCCTGTCTCTCCCTCTCACTGTCTGTCTGTCCGCCCCTCTGCCACCATGTGCTCCACCTGATGCCAAACTTCAGTCCAACGAAACAGACGTAAGTCAACACTGTTTGTTGCTTTTGTCAAATAAGAGCCATGGAGTAAGTGTCTTGCTGCCTGATTCTTCCATCACAGCCCCTTGCCTGAGTCTATCAGAAAGCCGCCCCCAGCTCTACATGCTAAGCCCGGGCTCGTTTGCCATTGCACGGCCCAACATAGTCTCGCCACCATTTCAGAGTTTCTGATTGGCCGCAGGAAGTCTCTTGTTAGGAGGTCAGTCAGTCGGCCTTCAGACTGGAGTGTGGGTATAGAATTAATTGCGGCACAGCGCCACCTGTCACGCCGGAACAGAAACACCAGTATGTTCTGCAAAACAATGGGGCACAGCCGGCCACGTGAAACTGACAACAATGTGGCTGCCTGCTCACTGGGTGGGGTCGCCATTTATGGGCATGGCTGAACTGCGAGGCTCCGCCTCAACCCAGGGCCTTCCATCGTCTGCATGGCACCGCTGCCACAGGGCGCTGTGCGTCACACAGTGCGACAGCTGAGCCGGGTTCCACGAAGGTTTTACAGGGCCCTGAACATATGGGCGGCCACGGGCACCTCCTGTGCCAGCTAAAAATGGACCAGCCAGCGTAATGCACATGGTGCACATTGCATTCTCGTCTCCATGGCACAGACACGTGTGCCCATCAGGCCTCTGAATGCTGTACCACACTGCTTAAAAATGGCGGGACTGTCCAGTTAGATAGCCGGCATGTTCAAATTCAAATTCAAATTAAAATTTTACTTGTCACATGCAAGTCTTAGGGAATACATTTGAACTGGTATTTTACTGACACATGAGACAGCAGTTCAAGTGACTTACTATGCAAATATTTCAATTGATTAAAGCAATTAAGGCGCACCCCACAGAGCCATAAAACCAGCTGTAGCCCCCCCCGCCCCCCCACGATGAAGTACTTGACGCCAAACACAGCATGTTGAAACTAGGAGGTACTACAGCATCAGCGACTCTCGTACCTCTGAAGGGTGGAACTCCCTGTGTTTGAAATACCGGAGCCCGTCTGGTATTTAATATGCAAATATTCAGGAAAAACAGGTGTCGGGCGCAGCGGTGGCACAATGCGCTTATCGGAGTACCGTAGCCCATCGTCGTCATTTCAAAGCGCCAGGCTCGGGGGTGGGGGCTCTCGTGGCGAAGCGCCCCCCCCCCACCGTCGGCCTCCTGGCTCGCAGCAGAGTGGGCGTCTGCCAGCTGGGCCTCAGCGTGGGCCGTCTTATGAGGAGAGAGATTTGGTGCTGGTGTGATTAACAAATGAGGGATCGCTCCGGTGCTCCACAGGCAGTCACACGGGCAAATAGCTGTCCGGCAGGATGTCGGGCGACCCGTCAGACCATTGGAGCTGCTGGTATTTTTTTTTTCCCTCTAAAACACAGACCAGCACTGCACACCATGTATGTCAGCTCTGGTGTACTGTTGCCATGGTATTTTCTTAAAGCCAGTTGCCAAGTATCTTGTCCATTAGGAAAGAAATGATTTCTCCTCTCTCCATCCCTCTATCTTCCTCCCAGTGCAGCACGGTGGAGGGCTTGTGCCCAATCAGCTGTGACAGTCCTGTGAGTTCCTCTCCTATTGCTATAATTTATTATCTCTTAACCACTTATTCTGGCCCATGTCTGTATGGTTATTTAACTGTGGGGCTCTGGGTATCATTATTCAGTTAACACAGCTGTTATGCAATCGGGTTGGGGCTAAATATCTGTGACTATTACAAGCCTAAGCACCCTGAAAATGGCCGACATTGCACTGACAAACTTATTGGTTCCAAACACAAAAGTGATCCGTTAGTTAAAAGTCACTGTCATTTAATTACGAGCGCTAGGTCTTAAATGGTACGAGCTGTAGTTAATATCGTAGAGGGGTGTTTGTGCAACGAAGCGCTCACTGCTTAGTGAATTTAATTGGGGAGGAAGTGAAAATGCTGGCACATTTTAGGCGGCAGTTTCCATGTTTATAATGAAGAGTTATGTCTGGTGCTGCCCCGGCAAGTTCCGTCTTGCAGCAAGAGATTGTCGTCCAGGTGCCCATCAGTCACTTAGCTCCCATCCTGATCCACAGGAGCTGAGCTGCTACCTCCTGGACAGCAATGGTTTCATCCTGATCTCCAAGGAGAAGAAAGAGGTAAATCTCAAGCCGGGGCTGTGGAATTCTTTGGGATCTGGCCCAGCATCCAATCATAAATGGCTGCCATCCTGTCATTTTCCCAGTGAGCCTGCTTGTACATCCTCACCTATCCACAAAGGGTTATTAGCAGATGAATGAAAATGGCGAATCTCGCTGATCCCGAGAAGGGGGACAGGGGTGACACGGGATAGAGGAAGCACGTGGGAAATGGCACCCTAGAGAATTTACTTGTGGGTTTTAAGAAACTTGTAATAATAATACTTAATCCCCCTGCCCAAGTGCATAACTATGGGTTGAGCATTGGGGCAGGGGGGTTGAGGTCTTCACCCATTTAAGGGGATTCAGGTGGTTGAATTGACTGGTTTTAATTATTGGGGGGGTTACAGACCCCCCATAATTTACCCCCATGCCCTTGCCTTCCACCCATTCGGGGGACGTTAGAAGCGTCTAGAAAGTGTGTTAAATGTGACAAGCAGTGCTTTGGATGCGACACCGACTGGCATCTAGGTGCTTGGTGTTCTGTCTGTAATGGTAAGCTGATAGCTTTGCCTAAGCTCCTTGCACTCCATTACCCTCATGACCCAGCTGAATAACGTGGGGCCGTGAGATTCGGACCCAAGAGGAGGAAGACACAGGACAAAGCCAGGAGAGTAGACCTGAGCAATGACATGTAAACAAGAGGGAAAGTGCTTTACAGTGAGGCAGGTATTAACACTGGAATATACACACTGCAGTTCAACACTGCTGGCTTGGAGCTGTGAAATAGTACTGTGTTCAAATTTGGAGTCTATTTCCCAGGCTGCCCAAATCGGTTCCTCCCATGTTCCCTAGCACTTTCATACAGTGAAAGATATTTAAAGACTGTGCTGCCCACTGCCTGTGCTAAGGGGACCACAGTTGTTGCTTATTGAGCAACTAAACAGTTAAAATCTGAACAGGTCTGTGGTATCGTCTACCACATGGTATATTTGGACAGATATTGGTGACAGAGTGACTAGCATTATCATTGGTGGATGTCTATCATGTGTGTTAAAAAAAACTCCATGAGTCTACAGTAATCTCTGCTGCAACCAGTTCAGGCATCATTAAACACATAGAGGATTGTGGGATTGCTCGCCCTGGGATTCTGAGATAACTGTCACTTATGTGTGGGATTGTGGGTCCTGAATGGCGCTATCTGAGCTATCAGCTTGGAGAGCCCACGTTGGGTTTCAGGGGATTTGAGAAACTTGTGCTAATACTGTTCCCCAGGGCGTCAGCTAAGCCGAAGGGGGGGACGCTAAACTTAAACAGCATGCGTTTGGCCACTGCGTGCATTGTGCAAGATTACACCACATTGAGGGGCTCTGCTGTCACAAGAGAATGACAGCGACTCTCATCACTGAAATTCCATCCCCAGAGCCATGACGGATCACCCCCCTCCCCAAACTGGTCTGAAGCTACAGGGATACAATTTTGCTCAAATTAAATGATTAGGGACATACTGTACAATATTCGGCAAAGTCTTAGGCAGTGAATTTTCTGTGTAGTAAGTGTATGTTTGCTCAAAAAAACAGTTTAACATTAGAACATATGCAAATTAACAGTAACAAAAAATAAACAAGAATTCTGTGTTCTCCAAAAAGTTACTGATGTCTTATTGGATAGCTAAATGAACATCAGATAGGTTCCCAACTGTCTCCTCTGGGACACCTAAGCCATCTATTCATTAAATTTCACAACTAGCTCAATTCATTAATTTACTTAATTAGTTAAATAACTCAATGAATAATTGATTAACCACACAAGGTGTGCTAATGGTCAAGTCAAAAAATGTATGGGTGTATTGGATGGTTGCTGCAAATACTGGGGTGACTAGCAGAGGTTTTGAAATTGCTAAGCTGACACACTTTGACAGACATGATAACATAGATTTATACCAACATGAAGATCACAAATATTTTCTTTGACTGCCAAAGACTTTTGCACAGTACTGTACACGGCAGTAGGATCTGCCAGCCTAAGTCCCCTACTTGTCAATATAGGAATACAAAAGTTTGTGTGTAAACACCAGCTGTGTGCCTCGCTTGATTGAGAAATGAGGCCTTAATTCCAAACTTTTTGAGTAGAAATCATACACAGGTATGTCTTACTGTGCTTCTTATTCAGAGCTTTTGGAACACTTTTATCATAATGTAAGACAACATACACTCAAAGTATAGTTGTTTTCCAATTACATAATAGAAATGTATTTAAGTATAACCAGAATGTTATCCTGCTGCGCAGTTGGTCTACTTTGACAGATTGAGAGTTTTAGAGGTCAGTATGATTAAATGAGTAAAGTAGCAGTAGGACAAGTCACAGAAAGAGACATAAGAGGCAACATCAAGATGACAGTATGACCCGTTAAACACCTCACAGGGCTTACAGGAAAAGATGCCAAGAAAATGAGTTTGCAAGAGATAGTTCTCTAGTTTTCTAATGGATACTAGCATGGACATTAGTCATGGGGATGGGGAGGGGGTTGTAACTCCCCCAATAATCAAAACCAGCTAATACAACCCCTAGGACCCCCTTTAATGGGTGGAGACTTCAACCCCCCCCCCCCCCCCCCCCCCCCCCCCCCCCCCAGTGCTCAACCCAAAGTTATGCCCTTGGTTATCTTTTAAGGTTGGTGTGCATGTTCCATGAGAATTCAAAGGTAACCTTTTTAAGTTGCCCAGATAAAACGTTTTTGTACGGAGAGTACAGGTGAGTCTGAAGGATGGGAGAGGAGATAAAGCTAAAGAAATAAAGTTGTAAATCAAATCCAGGTTTAAAGAGATGATGTATTTTTTATGTTCAAACATTTCAGTGTACTTGCATCACTATTCTCCTGAGTCAGAAGTAATGATGGTGGTCTCTAGGGTTGTATTGTAATGGGATATATTTGAAAGGCCGGTTCTTAGTGCCAACACAGAAGGCCAACCCAAGCCAATCCCGACAATAGATGCCTTATTGTTAGTCACAATCAATAACAGCAGGTACTTGTAGATGCGTGTGATGAATCAGCCAGCTGCAGAGCAGGTTGCTAAGCAACACCCAAAAACACGACTCATTGACAAATACTATTAAAGGTGACCTAATCAGCTTCATCAAAAATTATTTCATTTTGCAGCTAAAAATAAAAATGCAGCACAGTCCTTTGGATCAATTAGTTCATTATTCCACAATATTGTGTTGTGTAGTACTCAAAAATTAAGCTTTATGGCATCTGTAGTGGAAAAGTGATTCAGTAAAAACAGAACTCATACAAGTAATGGAGCAGACTCTTAAGAGAAAAAAGATCTTCAGTTGCCTTACGTGTAATAAATGCGATTATTGGATCATTAATCAGCTTGTCTGAGAATGATCGGTCTTATAGAGTTGCTGAAATTCTTTGAGTGTAAAATAGTACTGGACAGAAACAATAGCTGATTAGAGTGATGTATCCATGTGTTGTCTGTTGTTATTTTGAATATTTTAAACATTTTCACACACATCTCTGTTTGTCTGTTCGCCAGCATACACCCATGCACCTGCATACGTTTGTTATGTTCGTGTGTGTGTGCGTGTGTAAGAACGTAACGCAGGTGTGCCTGGTTGAGCATGTGGACTGTAATGATGACTCATTCAAGGCTGGGAATACAGCCCTCCGAAGTAGAATCTAGCTTAACATGTGACACTATTGCAGACACAGGATTGGCCGAGGCCTTAGCTCTAGGTCGTCACCTGACCCTCTCCCTCGGAGAATGAGTCACTGAAGAGGAAAACTGCTCTCTGTCATGTGGAGCAGGTTTCGCTGCAGGGAGGGGGTTTTACCACAACAGGAAAAAAGTGAAATATTTTAATTGGACAAGATAATTACAAGATGCAATACAAAAGGTTCGAAAATAATGAGAGGTAAAAATAGAGGCTGTTTGTTCTTTCAGTGCAAGGATGGATGGAAATCAGAAGAGAAGTTGTAGTACAAATCATACAAAGATACTGAGATCATTTAATGTTTACAAATTGCAGCTTCTGACACAGATATGAGTGCAATGAGAGGAAACTGAGAAAACGCAGGATTTTGCACTGCAGGTCCAAACTGTGAAGTGATGATGATGACGTTGACAATGATGATGATGATGATATTGTCCTCTTAAATCCGTTGCTACAGGGGTTACGAAATATTTTCTGGTGTGATTCCCATCCCTGTCTTGGCAACATCTGCCTATTTTGGGGAAACCTTATATAAATGCATCATCCCTATGAGTGACTTCTAATCACATTAAAGTAGATTGGTGTATAGCACTGTGGAGCAGAAGCTGGAGTTACAGAGAGGACACTTCTCATCAGACAGCCTACTGCACAAATGGGTGAAATTACTTGCGTCAAAGAAAATCACCTGCCCTTCAAATTAATGATGACACCAGTGGGATTACGCCCATTTAATTAGAGTTTAGGAGCATTATAACATTTTCAAATGTGCCAGGAGTATTTTTATGTCATCGCAATATCACCCAGTATGTGTCTATGTGAATGTTATTTTTCTGTTTCTTTATTTGGAACATTTCACTTGCTTTGCTTAGTATATTTAAGACACAACAAATACGTGCCTCTGTCATATTAAACAGCCAAAAACAGATTTGAACAATCTGTTTGAAAAATCATGAAGTTTTCATGTTTTGATAGCTATTTTATGACAAGTGAAGATTATGACCATGTAAGTTATGTTAGTTTAGATCCAGTTTTTCTGGTAAACTGTGTTGATAAGAAACTGAACAAGATTGGATAGTTCATGTATTTCTGAATCTGAGATTAAGATTTAGTAGTTCACTTGTTATAAGGGTATGATGTTTCCAAACTAAATATGAAGGGGGCCATCTCTGACGACAAGGTGTGGGCTGAACATTTGGCTGAGGTGTACATCGTGTAGACAGTTTATATTGTCAATTCAGTAGAAAATGACAAATTCAATCTTGATCTGAAATAGAATCAGTCGTTTGGGGAGAATTCTTTTATGAAAGCTAACATGGTTAGGGCCAGGGGTGACTCTACGATTTGATCTTCAGTGGGTTTGCCACTTTCAATCTGTAGAAATATGGGACACAACCCATGGGGATAAAATTTGCCAAGTCGGAGAGGGGGGAGCAGTTCTCCATGATAAAATGAGTCAAGTGGGGGGTTGGGATCCTGCACACAAAAATTATAAAATTATGTATGAATTTAAAAAAAAAAATAAAATATATATATATATATATATATATGTGTGTGAAATGTGTATGTGTATGTAAATACAAAAGAAATCACTAAATGGATTTTGAAAAATCATTTTTCTGCAGGGCAAAAAAATATGAAAAAGACAAAAAAATATGGTGGCTGAATCCCCCCTAAACAGGGTCTAGAATCGCCTATGGTTAGGCCATCTATATTCTGGAAGAAGAAAAAATGGAAGAAGAGAAAACATAGACATTGGCTCCCTGTTGCATAGTGTGTGCTGAATGTGTCCCATGAGACAACGCAAGCTGGATTACACGACCAGGCTTCCCTCCCTCTCACTACTCCACAGCGACACCTACTGTCCTCCGGGCGCATGTGCCGCTGTACATGCAATCATGTTATGTCACTGGAGAGTGCCCATGGTGCGTACAGGGAGCAGAGGCCGGTGGCTGACCCTCCCTCGCCGGAGGAGGCGTGTTCTAGTCCCTGCCGCTGGCACGAGTGTCATTGTTGCATGTTCCAGACGGACAATTTGATAAGAGGAAGGAGCAATGAAATATAATCACACATTAAAGTATGAAGGCTACAGTGGTTAGCACTGTTGCCTCACACCTCTGGGACCAGGTTCAAGTCTCTGGCCTGGCACTATGTGTGAAGTCTGAATGTTCTCCCCGTGTCGTCATGGGGTTTCCTCCAGGTACACCGCTTTCCTCCCACATTCCAAGAACATGCTAAGCTGAACTGGAGTTACTGAAGTGTGTGTGTGTCCTGTGATGGGTTGGTGCCCCATCCTGGGTTATTCCCTACTTTCAACAGATCCACGCTCACAATAAGCACATGTACATCCACAAAATGCAATAGGCAGAAAAGTCACAAGACACAAAATGCAACACAGACAAATCAGCCACCTCCGCTGAGCTATGGACACGGCAAACGACTTTCTAAACGCAAACCTAACCACAAACATCATCTCTTTGTCCTCTCTAGTCCGGAAAGTTCTTCGGGGAGGTGGACGGAGCGGTGATGTCTCAGCTGCTCCGAATGGGCATGTTCAAGAGGTAAAAACCCACGGTCCACGTGACACACGGAGCAGCCCGTCAGCCCATTCTAAGGTCAGAGAGATCCTTTCACACATAAGTTTCGCTCTAATTCACTTCCATGAAAAATGAATGCTGACCAGCGGCATGGGCAGTTTGTCTGGGACTCCCTTGAGCTGACAGGTGCTGTAACCAGGAGTTGTTGGTGCTCTCTGTCTGTGAAATGTTTATCCCGAGTGTTTGCCTAGCCCACCTTAATATTACATGCCTGAGAGGACTTTGCGGAAAAGGTCACTCATCGCTTTTTTTTTTTTGTGGTACTCGTGCATGGACACGTGTGCCTGTGGGCCCCCAGGATCTCTCTGTACGACTACCAGGCCATGTGCAAGACCAGCCACCATCACACCAGCGGTGCCCGCCCTCTCCTCAGCGTACGTGCACCTCCCCCGAGCCCCTGCCTTTGAAATCACTGCACACACACCCACTCTATGTGTCCCAGCTCAGGTACTGTTGCCCTATATCTAGCGTAGTGGGTAAGAAACAGGAGCTGCACAGGAAACTGGCAAATGTGAAGGAAAAATCACCTGCCCTGCAAATTAAGTACTGTGGCGACATCATTGGATCTGCGCCAATACAATTACAGCTGAAGAGGTCTCGCTTGGGAATATGCTGATCTGATAAGGTATAAGTTCTGTAATATGGTGGACAGACGGATGGACAGACAGACAGACAGACAGACAGACAGATAGATAGATAGATAGATAGATAGATAGATAGATAGATAGATAGTCAGGTTTACAAGTATTTCTGAAAGAATGGGTTGTTCTGAAGAGCTCAGTCAATTCACGCGTTACACTGTCACGGGACGCCATCTTTGCCTCCCCAGAAGAGTGGCATATGTAGCTGCAAAGGGGGAACAACTCCAATTGACACCTATGGATTTAGAATGGAACGTCATAAAAGTTCCTGTAAGTGTAATGGCTGGGTGTCTCAATACTTTTATCCATATAGTGTATATGTAAATAGAATACATACAGTATATGGAAGACTAAAATACTTAAATACTAAGCCTGCCTGTATTCTCTTTTGTCCATAATTAACTCTTACACACTCCTAAAATAATTATGTCACCTGACATGTGCCTTTGTGGTCAGTTTGACCCCAGGGTAGGTGTGAGCGTTGACTGAGTTTGTACCAGACTGCCACCCAAACTGTTCATTCTTCAGCATCACTAGAAAAATGATGTGTATGTTCCAAGGACAACGTCGTCCTTTTCGCATTTATGTACATCAGCAGCCTCTCACATCCAAGCCGATGTGGACACCAGACTCAGCGGTGTGATTTTACCCTTCGGAGATCTATAAATATCGCCGGCTGCTAAGACCCCGTTTCCAGCACTTGCATCTGAATAACAGCTGAAAGCAGTCAAACCAAGTCTGACTCTTGATCTCTTTTCCCTCCCTTCTCCCCGTTGCCCACAGCCCTTCTACAGCTTTCTCTCGGCTCTGAAATGGTTCCTCGCTAACTTCACGTTGTAAGTATGCCGCTTGGAAGGATCTCCTTGAAAAACATCAAAGCTTTCCATCACACGTTTTTTTGTCCTGATTGTAATGACCCCTTTCTGGTTCTAATCACCCTGGTTCCCCTTAAAGGCAGTACTATGCATTGACCCCAGCTTCTGAATCTGCTATCAGACCCTCTGGAAGCTGGACTCGTTGTTTGCCTGAAACATGCCGTGTTCGCTTCATTCTTATTGGACTTCCACAGGTTTTTGCTGGAGTTCAATATTTGCGGTCTGTGGCACTCTGATCACCTTGCAGAAGGTAAGTCATGCTGTAGTTTTGTAATGATGCACCAGACCTTCAAGGAACTGCTGTGTCTGGAGAACTGGCATGACAAGAGCATATTAAAAGCTGGATTTTCTGGTTCCCAACCTCATACATCTTCCAAGCATTTCTTAAATCATGTGACTCTTCTGTATGACACCTTTCTTTCACAAACCATTTTCTCATCTCTGATCCCTCCATACCTGTCTGTCATGACTGTCCTCACTGCTGTACGCCTGCTTCTGTCCGCCTTCCTTGTGGCCTATCGACAAATCACTAACTCCATCTGCCTCATTCACCGTGACTCCTCCCACTCAGCCAAGGCTGTCTTCCATACATGTAAGTTACACCATAGTCACACGACCCCATGCTGTCCATCTTCGAAGTTTCTGTTTAATGCTAAGAAGAAACGTCAGATATGTTCATATGGGAGGGGTGTATTGTGTGTGCTTCTGAACATTACCTGATTAATGTGTTTATAGTTTTAATTATTTAGGACAAAAATATATATATAGCATATACATTCTCTTCTCCATCAATCCAGTGCAGCTGACTCAGATGTGCATCTTGCCCCATCAACTGCTCTGTCTCCACACACATAAACACACACACACAGCTACAGACACAGCTACAAACACACTAGTGCACACACACACACAGAGCTACAGACACACCTGCGCACAGTCACACAGCTACAGACACAGCTACAAACACACTATCGCACACACACACAGCTACAGACACAGCTACAGACACACCTGTGCATGCACACACAGCTACAGACACACCTGTGCATGCACACACAGCTACAGACACACCTGCGCACATACACTCAGGTACAGACACACCTGCGCACTCACACAGCTACAGTCTCAGCTACAAACACACCAGTGCACACACACACACAGCTAGACACACCTGAGCATGCACATAGTTACAGACTCAGCTATAGACATAACTGTGCACGCACACAGCTACAGACACACCTGCGCACTCACACAGCTACAGTCTCAGCTACAAACACACCAGTGCACACACACACACAGCTAGACACACCTGAGCACGCACACAGTTACAGACACAGCTACAGACATAACTGTGCACGCACACAGCTACAGACACACCTGAGCACACACATAGTTACAGACTCAGCTATAGACACACCTGCGCACGCACACACAGTTACAGACACAGCTACAGGCACACCTGCGCACGCACACAGCTACAGACACAGCTACAGACATACCTGCACAAAAGCCGCCCCCCACATACACACAGACACACTCAAACACAGAGCATCAGGTCAGCCTGCATGTGGGCACTGGGCCACAGAGGCCACCTTACGTAAGGCAGGGAGCCGCGTCCGCACAGAGCCGCAGAGTGGGAGTAGAGCGGCTTCCCGGCTCCTCTCTGCTGCCGTACGCTGTGCCTTGGCCCCCTGCTCCTCTCTGCCACTCTGGCTATGAGCTGCTGCTCACAGCAGCTGCGGGAAGCAGAGGGAACGCCCTGGTAAAGCCTGTGAGATACAGAGGCACGGACACCACACTCATTAGCAGAGCTCTGTGTGTGTGCGCATGGGCCCTAATGAACAGCAGTTGCCCAAGACAGATTCCTCTCTCTCTCTGCCCCCCACAGCCCACAAGCACAAGAAGGTGGAGGTGATGCAGCCATGCGACACGGAGTACCCCAGCTTCATGTACACGCCGTCCGTCAAAGAGACCAACAGCTTCGTCCAGTGTGGCCGGTGTCACAAGTAAGGGGCCAGGCCACACCTCCCAGTGGCCCTCCAACCCTGTCCTCCACTGCCACCCCTTTCCATCACACATTCCCTGCATTGTTAGCCCCCTCCCCCACTTCAACCCCCCCACAGCTTAATTTCGGCCAGTTGCTGGGTGAAATGAATGTGGGGACCGTCTAGGTACTTAAGGCACTCCGTTGTTCGGAGGGACCTGGGAAATCCGCATGGGGGCAGTTCAGAAAAGTGCCGCGGTCCGGGCGAGATGGCGAGGGTGGCGGCGTGCAGCCCTGCCATTACCTGACTCATTCTGCTTTGTCTTCTCTGGCCAGAAAAATCCCACACAGTTTACAGGGATGCACAGAAGCCTTAGGAAAGTGCAGATGGAATTACCTTAAACTGACTTAAGCCAGTCGTCATTTATACACCATTACCCCTCATACACACCCCCAACCCCGGTGAGTCTTAATAATGGAAAGCTGAAAAGATGATCAGCATCCACTACTGTTAACAGTATGAATGACAAAAAAAATTCTGAATTGCACAACATTAGCACCACCTGGTGGATGAATTTACACCTTACAGGAAGGCAAACTCCCATCCACCAGTCCATATATCCATCTTCCAACCATTTATCCTGCACGGGGTCGTGGAGAGTTTGGAGCCCAACCCTAGTACTGCACAGGCCAGGGGAACAAACGCACACTCACATACTATAGACAGTTTATGGACACATATTCACCTAACTGCATATTGATGGGCCCCAAATTTCTGAGAACTAGAAATTCTGCTAGCTGCTAGTACTCCAAGAATAGAGTCTGCTGTAGATGTGGAACACAAATTATTGTTGAATCTCTGGATACCAGCCATCTAGTGGCATGCCATATCTTGACACCTGACAGGTTCTTCTAGAAATTTACCAGACCTATTTCAGGTTCAACAAAGATAAAACAGAAAAAAAAAATTCATCCAATAACATGCCAAGATTCCAGCCTGCAGATCTGAAAGAAAAAAAAAATGTTTTTACACAGGCAAACTAGACATCAATTTAGCAAGATTTGTGCCTATTTATATAGACAAGAAGGTGACTTTTTAATATGCAATGAAACTTCCCAGTGAAATAAATATTTAAAAGCCAGGGAAAGCCAGCAGCTGTTAATCTTACAAGTCGTAGTACATTTCCAAATATTATGATGAAAGATGAAGCAATCTGTAGGAGATTGGTGATCACGCACTTGTACCGCCACTAGGGGTCAATATTTAACAAGATTTAGAGCATCTGAGTTCACTGTAGGCCGCCTAAACACAGAACTCTTATTCACACTAATGAAGTATTGTCAACACCCAGTGTTAGGGAGAAGTAATCTGTTTTTGAGGGTGTGGGTGAGACAGAGAGGAGGTACGCTCTGCACTTCATGTTATACAATGCAGTTCTATTATAGTCATAACTTTTCTACCAGAACAGTGTAATACATGCATCCACTGGGCTAGAAGCACAATTATTTATGATCGATTTAAAACTCCCATAAACTGCTGAATCATAAAGCTTATTGAGGCTTCGCGTTCTGGTACCAGCCCCGGGAGAGCTTCACGTCTGTGTTTGGAAGAGACCCGTCTCGCTGGATTTGGCACGCCTGGCATCGATCGCCTTGATCGCCCTCCACCATTTTCCGCCCATCGCCTCAACCCCCCCTTGGGTAGACCTAACGGAGCGAGCAATGCTAACAAAGTCTGGCGGAAGCGTTGTTCAGGATGCCCATGGCGGCCAGCGGGCCCCCATCCATTATGTGGGCAGGAGGCGGAAGGCGGCTGGCTGCCCCCGTCCCCCGCACACACACAGGCCCCTTGGCGGCTGGCAGCGCTTCTATAATACCTGTTGTCTTATGCTCTATGGTCGGCTGACCTGGAGGAAGTGACATAGACACCCGTTCCTCAGGAGATCCTGGCACATCACCCAGTACCCCATGTTACAGCCCAGAGCTGGCCGAGTTTGCTCTGTGGTCGTCTTCTTTTGCCAGCATTCCTGCAGCAGGAAAATGCATAACCAGGGTATCAGACCCCAGAGGCTGCTTGGCTAGTGCCAGCTGGTGGGCGATTGGCACGGGCCCTTTCCCCGCCCTGGGGCCGCGGATGTACTGCAGGTTGTGGCGGATTGGCGTGCTGATCTGGCTCGCCCCGAGAGAGCTGGTTTTGTTCTGGCTTTAGTTTGCATTGGCACAGGACCGCAGGCCCGCGGTGGTTCTGGGAAAGAAAAGCCGTCTCTGGAAACGTCCCTGTAAGCTGCCCATTCGACGGGACGCTAGCAGACACAGGCTGACCGCTGGAATCCAGACGAAACACAACTCGCCTTTCAAATTCGGGCACTGAACGTCACTCCGGCCTGAAATGTGCCATGCTGGTGACTGGATGTGCTGCAGAGAGTCCAGTTCTTCACCTTCTTTGTTGACTGGTTGGGACAGTGCTAGACAAGACCATCTGCCGTTCTAAAATATTAAAATTGCATAATATTACACGGATGTCATTCGTGATGACGGGAATAACTGAGGCAGTACTTGAACATCATTATTTCCATCCTGAGTGTGAAACGGCAGGAGGGGCTGTGAGAAATGATGCTGGGGACCAGTCATCTAACCAGCACTGGTGCTGCTGCTTTCCAGGATGTTTGTGATGCAGCAGATTGCCAACAGCAACCTGCTCATGCTGGTCATCCAGGGCGAGTGCGACTGTGCCCGCAGGTTCCCACCTATCACCTTGGAGCCCAAAGAGGTCAAATATATCCTTCCCATTCTGGAAACTTAGCTGGCCAAAGTCTGAATCCACACTATCCTACCACAAGTGGATACACCAGAATCAGTAGGATTATTTGGGCAAGTATGTTCGCACATACAGGGAATCTGTCTCCAGTTGTCAGTGGCTCTCATGTAGGGATGCACCGATTCCACTTTTTCTGTCCCGATACCGATACCAGGGCTTTGGGTATCGGCCGATATCAAGTACCGATCCAATACCAGTGTTTAATTAATAAGCTGTAGGCTTTTGCCTCACTGTGTGGAAGAGACTGTGATCATTCTTTTATGTGTATAACATCATGCTGAATATATATATATATATATATATAAAATAATGGGGTTTATATATATTAGATATATAATGACAATTAAGTACATTTATATATATGTTTGTTTACCTTACTTGAAACCTGAGTTTTCAACTCAATCATTTATATCAGGATTCTCAATTCATCTTTATAGGGGAACAAAACCTTGACTGTAAAGGCTCGACGCCATAAGTACAACAACTGTAAGCCATAGCGTGATGTGCACCTACTGTACTCAGAAGAGTACACTTGGCAGCGACGCAGACCGCAAGGACTGGGACTGGTTTGCTTGGTAGTGTTCGTGTTATTTAATGTTAGAAGCAATGAAAGTGTACACCCAGTTACTTATATTAGTGACTGACCCTGAAGCATTAGTTACATCTAACATTAAATAACTCACTTAGTTATGTAATGTTAGATATAAATAACGCTTCAGTTTTATTTTATCTCACTTCCCCGGAATTTGCACTTTTGTTGTTTTGTTGTTGCGGCCTTTGCTAGCATTAGTAAACTCTGTGTACTCTGCGCTATTGTGCGTCTCTATATATTTGATCAAATTGATTGTATTAAATGACGTGCTGTCCCTTCCACCTCCTGACAGAACAGAGCTACATATTGTCATCGTCCCTTATCTTACAATATGTCCAAACTGCTGACTCCCTCCGCATGTACTCGCCAATTTGCCAATGCTGACGTTCTCTGCATTTATCCTTCCCGAATGTTTCCAGCTGATAAATCTCTCGCTAGATGCCAAAATCTGATTGGACAGCAATAAAAAATTAGTTTTAATGTGATGTTGCAATTAAGTGGGTTCAGTTCTTGGTATTGGACAATTTTTATGAGTACGAGTATGAGCATATGAGTGCAGTATCAGCCCGATACCTGATGCCGGTATCGGTGCATCCCTACTCATACATACAGCAGATACATGCACAGTTAAGAGAAGACAAGACAATGGTCAAATACAGCCCTGACTTGAACCCAAGAGTACATCTTTCAAGGCCAAGATGGTCATTTTCAGTAGCAGATCATTCACATTGTTAAAGAGTGAAATAATGTAATAAAAATAATTTAAAATATAAAATAATAAAAATAATAATAAAAAAATCCACGTTTCTCCAAGATGTCAAACAATGTTTTTATGATGGAGTAATCCAATTTGAATGTCGATTCATTTAGATATCTTAACTACACCAAAGTTCCACATGACCACAGAATTCCACGCACATACCTGTATACACCCCAAAGCAGATTAGATCAGCTACCATGATTTAGGCTTGGGCAGTATTACAGTAATGCGGTGTACTGCGGTAATGCTAGGCACAACCATTGCTTGGTGAAATTTATGGTGGGGGACCCCTACTCAACAAATTATATCATCAAGACTACAAAAGACCAGAATGGCGACGCTTTTGAAAATACTGTCAAAATACCTTATACTGTGGTATAGGCATAGAAAATTTGATACTGCCCAAGTTTACCATGAGCACTATACAACCTGCTTCCCTTTGCATGAGCTGCCCCTCCCACATTCCCAGGCACAGAAAACAGTAATAATATTCACTGTCTGCTGCTGACGGTCATGTTTGTTGACGAGTCCTTAACCACTCTGCACATAACACCTCGGTCAAGTGCGACAGGATGAGGTCACAGAAGCTCCGCAGAAGGCCGGACTCCTGCCACGCCTTCCACCCTGAGGTCAGGCTTCTCTCTTAGTTCTGAAACATTGGATTTCTTTCTCTAAGTACTACAGTACTAATAATAACAAGACAATAAAAATTTGACACAACTAGTTTAACTGCAATCTAGACCATATGTATTTTTCTCAGTCACTTTACATGGTCAGTTGTATTTGGAAAACGTTATGTGTTGTCCCCAAACAGACATAAAGGTCACGTAACATTAATGTTACAATTATGTTGCAGGAGAACGCTGAAGACTGCGGCGGGGCCAGTGAGATATCCCTGTCTGTGGCCCTCTTCATGACTACACTCATTGCCTCGCTTGTCCTGCGGTGATGGAGGGCCAAACCTGCTCACAGGGGCCAAGTTCAAGGGCCCCCGGGCTTGCGCCATACCTCCCCATTTGTTTTTATTTATCGATTTTATCTTAGTTCTTTTCTGAGATGAGTAGGATGTTAGAGACACCGCAGCACAGAATACGTATGTACATTGCAAGCAAGTGACAAAGGGCTTGTTTTCTAATCTAACGTGTAGCTTTTTTACCATGATGGTGAGAACGATATGCATGGACCATGGACAAAAACATTGTTCGCTTGTACAGGCGCCAAGATGGACGGCAAAAATGAGTTCCACCAGTGCGTGTGTCTGCCACGGCACTGTGAAGAGACAGTGATGCAGTCACACCTGTCCCCCAATCATGAGATCCTGCTCTCTGCTGAGCACCGTCTAACTGTGCCATCTAGGGGCCATGCAGAGGAAGACAAGCAACCACAGAAGAGGGTTTTAAAAATATAAGAAAAATTTACTGTTTTTCATGAACCAGAAGGGAAACAAAACTGAAAATCTGCCAGTATATTTAGCATATGCTTCATGGGTTTGCTACACACTTCGTTTTGCGTTCAATTTGTTCACACTGCCATTGTTGCATATGTATTACAACTGCACACGATTGTTAACTGATAATACCAGTTCTATAGTGACGAACGTATGCAGCAGGGTTCCCCAGGAGAAGAAAATGTGTGGTCCCCTCGCCTGGCAAATTTCATCATCAGTTTTCCAGTGGCCCTTGGCTTAATGTTGTTGATGGAATTTGGCCTTTGGGTGAACACTGATATAGAGCCTGAACTTCATGTAAAATTATACATCGATTGGAGGGAACCCTGATGAAATGTCAGACACGGTGATTTGCCTGGACGCTCACAGTGGCTTCTGGGTGACTCCTGAGCACCAGACTGACCTGATGAGTTTCTAATACCTGGGTTTGTTCACTCATAGAATGGTTTGATATTGTTTATATCAGAGTAACTACAACTCTCTCACAGTGTCTGAAGTACATGTTACATTATCAAGGAATGTATCCAAAAATTGGACAAAAAAACAATGTAACTTTCCCTTAAAAAAGTAAAAGTTGTGTTAATCTCTATAAATCAAAGTGGGTGTTGTAAACAAACTCCTTCACTATTACAGAAAGAAAAATAAAATAGGAACATACAAGGCACTTGGGACACTTCTGGGAAATACAAGCACCAAATTCATCCTCTTTTCTCACAATGGGCACAATCCTTATCATTAACCCCACATCATATATCTAGGGTTGCAATTGTATGAGATTATCAAGGTATTTTATTGTCTTGGGAAATATCATGGTTTCACAGTATTTCACAATTATTATCAGTTACAATGACCTTAAAGTAATGAAAACAGGAGGATTATGCTGGATAAAGACTTTATCATACCTGAAACCTGAAACAGTTTTTTGGAAGTATGCGTGTAAGTGTCCCTTTTGAAAATAAAATAATTAAGAAAGCTGTAAATCTCCCATTGGGACAAAAGACATTAGGATAAAAAAAGGAGCAGGATCTTTAAAAAATAATAATTTCTTTAGATAATAATCATAATAAAAATGTCACTGTCGAGCTAAACATACATAATCTTAAAAATCATGTCAACAACTTAAATATACAGTTATAATTCATAATATGTATCACTGTCAAGCTAAATATATACTAATAATCTAATTAAACATGTCAGTTATAGTATCAAGCTATATGCTTTTTTTATAATAATTAATGAAAACACACATTTTTAAAAACATTTGTAAATGTATTTTATTGATGCAAGACTTTTGCTGAAAAGTTTCTTTTTCCCTGATTCCAGTGATTTGGAGAGATATAAATATGGCAAAATGTGTCAAACTTCATATTTCAGTAAAGAGTGAGCCAGAGTATATCAAGTATAAACTAGCATTATATTCAGATATGGGATATTTGAGTAATATTGATCCAAAAAATGCAAACAGGCAACAGGAGTGAGTTCTTAAGTCAAACAAAGAGTGAACACTTAAAATGACAAGCAAAGAAAACTGTTTTTTTTCAGTCAGCAGAGTAATTAACACCATTTCTCACTAGACAATAAAGCAACCACTGTAGTTTGCTGTTACTGTAGACAATATGGTTTACCATAAAATGGTAGGATGAACGGATCAGGCAGCGCCAGAAAATGTAATGCAGTGCATGCATAGCAGGTGGTATGGATCAGGTTGTGGAACGGTTTATGCATGGTTTATGGTATGATAAGCATCAATTTTCATACCGTGATATATCACGAAACCGGTACACTGGTGCAACCCTATCCCTAGAGGAAATGTACGGGAAGATGTTGTAAATAAATATAAATCATCATAAAAAGGAGTAACCTACTTTGGCATCCTTTGTAACAGCACTGCAGTCTCTAAAAACATGTCAAATACAAAAATCCAGCCCCTATGATCTGACTTAATTGTCTTTAGAATAGGAAAGTCAGTACAGTGAATGGTGGGTATAGTTAGACCTAAATCCTGTGATTTCATGGGAGCCGCTGGCAGAGTGATGCAGGTGGATACGTCACAAACAAGACTGATTAAATATCCAAAACAGTGTTATTCATTTTAAATATACAAGTAAATATACATCAAGCCAAAATGTTATATTTTTCATTTTCCTTTTATCCAAATTGATATCAGCCAGCAGTATCCTTAATCTTATTTTCTGTAGATATAGCATAACCAGTACAGTCACATTCTTCCTATTGATGGTCTGCTGTCAACTGAATCCACTTAGTTATCAAATTAGAAGAAACCACCGGTATGTATATGCACCAATAATTGCACCAAGAATTGATCTTATTTACCATCCTATGAGATATTTTTTTTGGTTGTCACACTGCTGTTAGATTCATTACTGTTGCCAGATCCTGGAGTTTCCTAAACACATTCTGTTCTCTCACAGTCATGGACTGACTGACAGATTCTACAACGTCACAAAGAGGAGCGAGGCCACATCCCAGAGACACATAACACCTGGTTACCAAAGGCCCAGCGCTGGATAAACCTTTGTCCTTTTCAAAGTTGCCCAGGAAGATGTGAGCTCCACAATGGGGACAGAGTACCTCTGCAAGCGAACAAAGCAACAGAACGCAGTGAACCTGGGACGCGGATGGAATAGACAGACTGGCGAGATGTCCTTCGACCAGCCATGCTGCCTTTTGACAGAGGAACCAGTACAGCACCGCTACCAGTGGTCCGTTAGCCTGCTTCACGGAAGGCCGCAGATACAAAATGCCTCTGCAGGGTGGGGTGTGTGCAGGCAGCCAGTTTGTCCAGTCAGCCAAGCCCCCCCAAGGGCAATTGCAGCCCCAGGCCAAAAAGGCCCGAGGCTGGGATGCAGAGATGGGGCCCGCGGTCGCCCATTCAGAGGAAATAAGCTGTGGAAGATGTGGAAAGGCAGGAGGAGAGGGTCATGTTCCCAACAGCGAGGAGATAAAAGCACACTAAGGTCTCCTAAGAAGACCGTCATCTGCCTGGAATACTCACTTGGATTTGCTTTGTTTAGTTGAAGTGTAAAGAAGCCGATGTCCCCACACATACACCTGTGAGGGTGTCCTCAACCCGGCTCCCCCCATACCCAGACCCCATGGCCCCTTTGATAAATATTACTTTTAAAAACAAAATAATTGTCTGTCATTTTGCCACTGAATTACACAAGGCAGCAGGGTATTGTTTTGTTGTTCATCTCTATTTTCTTATGTAAACATATTGTAATTAAATGCACTGCTATACAAGCTGCCTTGTACAAATATAAATATATTTAAATGATTGAGAAAGTCTTCCAACAACATCTTGTCAAACTAGATTAGCTGATTGTGGGAGGATTTTTATTTTTGAGATTTGTATCCGTGAGGTGGGCACACTGCCCTCTACAGTGTGAAATGAGCATTGCTGCACCAGGTATTGTACATTCAGACATTTTGGCTAGCTCTACAGTAACAGAATTACAATCGAAGGAAAATATAGTTATGATTTGAAAAGAACTGGCTTGATTTGCTTGCAATACCATCAGTTCCCTGCGGTTGTATGCCAGCCATCAAATTATACCGCATAATAGGTTGCACCATTCACCCAATGCATGACAGTTTGGAAATGGAATTAGCTCTGCGGTAGAATAGCTCTTTTCCATTAATAACAATCTCACAGAGCAGCGGGCAATCGGTGGACTCCTGCCCGCATCCCCCTGATCAGCATTTTTTTTCATATACAGTGGACCTCAATTTGTGTGCTCAATTTGACCCTCAAGGAAACAGTAGGAGACCCTGCCATAGACGGTCAGCGTGAGCTTGGAGACCATTTCAACTGGGGCGGGAGCAGACTGGGGCCAGTTGTTCCGTTAGGGGATCCAGGTGCATTTGACCTTAATATCCTCCAAGTATTATTTACACTATTAAGAAGCAAAAGACGATTATCGAAGGGTGATAAGTTATTTATGCAATGCTTTGCAGTTACATTTTACAGCTTTTACAATTTTGTAACTCACTCTCGTTTATTGTTTGGACTGTCTTGCTTCCACAAGCTTAGGTTATTTTTTTCTGTCATCAACTTTCCTCCAACTGAAACGACTCAACAACCCGACGCACCCGCGTTAAGCGTCCGTCACGACATTGTGCTTACGGTTTTGTTTCACCTGTTCCCAACATAAATCAATGTAAATAATAATAATATTAATAACTGTTTCAGACCCAAGTAAAATACGTATTTGGGGAGGGGGGCATGCATGTTGTCAGGGTCCCCCCCTCCCAGAAACGCACGTGCCCGGAGAATCTGCCAGTAAGCACATAACACAAGGCAACTGTCTTTTTTAAGGAATAAAGATGCATTAATAGTGGTAGTAGGGGTTTTAATCGAGTTTTAGTATACGTTATTTATATATATCATGTGTTTTAAGGTGTTTCTGTATAAAGAAGTGCAGTGAAGCACACAGGCATCTCTACAGCGTGTGAATGCGTGACTACACACGCGTGCGCCTTATAATGGACTGATATCCTATACCCAAAGAAACCTTTCCCAGTGGGGTAAGATTAGCAACCCCGAAATTAAAAGAAACCAGAGCTAGGAATCCCCTAATACTAATGCATGATCCCATAACTAAGACCTGAGGACCGAGTGGCGGCTTTAAATTAATATTTCTCTCTCCGGAGGGTCTCTTCAAGTAGGAAACGCCTTACACGTCATCTACTGTTTGTCAAGTGAAGAAAATCGTTCAGAAATTGTATGACTATGAATGCAGAGCGCAGTTTCAGTGCACAGAAATATTCATAAAGAAACGAGCTTGCTTTAAAATATAAAATATAGACAAACAAATTAATCCATCATTACAGACGTGAAAATGCTTTTCCTTTATTCTTTTAGACAAGCATGCAAATAAATACATTTCCTACTGTGTTTAATTTGTTGTTCTCAAACTGTTGATATGACTGTAATAGCAACTAACAACTTAAATGTAGGCATTAAACCGACCGCCAGAGTGGGCTGCGATAACAATGCTCCCAGATTCAGCGGGTAATAAACTCACATCAAAAAGCAATTAGCAAACTAACCCCAAACGCCCAAATATGTAGTATGTGCTGTTCGGTGTACTTATTTAGCACGGTTTAATATTGCCTTTTAATCGATTAAGAGAATGTGGGCCTACCTTAGAGAAAACTCCGTCTCTCTACATCAGTTCATCCTCAACAATGGAGTTTCCTTCTGATAAACGTTTCTTGAAAGGGAATAAAACAGTTCTTAAAAATCCCCGGAAAATTAAAGGAAATACCCGGATGCCGCCAGGCCCTCTGGATTATACGTACGTATCTCACATTGCTGGTATTTTCAGTATGTGATATTAAGGGCCCGTAATAAACAGCCTTTCCCTTTACTTAAGTGTTTTGAACCCAGTGTTATTGCGCCCCACTTTCCGCACCCCGGCTGGCACAGGCCATGAAGGCGCATCCCCAAGCGCCGCAGACAGCAAGCAAGCCTGGAATTTAAGCTGAGCCACTCGCTTGAGGCCTGTTACTTAGACGAAGGGTGAGTATACAAACACTGGCCCGCTGGCTAGTTTTTTTTTATTTATTAATTTTTTAATAAATAAAAAAGCCATGACGGACTACCTCTTTTAAGTTCCACCCCTGGATATATCTGACAAATGCACAGAACAAGCGACAGCGAGTAGAACGACCATGTTCAGTACCATTCTTCACCACACAGTGGCAGCAGAGGTGGTCAGGCTTCGGTTTTTATGGTGTTTATTTCCCATCCGCTCTTGGTTCATTGGTAACAAAATCTAATTCTTTATTACAAAAAAAATTATAAATAAAGAACTGCCTCTTTACAGATTCAAAAACTTTTATTAGAACAGTACAGCAGATAAAAAGTTCATATTGCAATCACACACTTAAGAACCATGTGTGCTTAAACAACAAACAATATGCACTTCCAAACAGAAAAAAAGAAATTAAATAAATTAATAAGACAGCGGCCGATTCTGATGCATTTGCCGACTCAAAATTCCACATCAGATGGGAAAAAGGCCTCAACTCTGGAAGATTAAAAAGTAGAAAACCCAAAACCCCAACACAAAACGATAAAACAAAAACGGAAATAGAGAACCCTGCGTCCAACTGAAGTCAAATGCATGGTGACGCTCTGACGGCAGCCTTCGGTCCCATAGACGGCGGCCACAGGTTCTCATGCGCAAAACTCTTGGTGCTAAAACAGACCAAAAAGAGAATCCTCGTCTAGGGGGTTGGGAGGAGCCCAAACTTCTGGTTTCAGCACAGAACAGGCCTTCCTCTAGGGTTTCAATGTTGAGGGGTGGACTGGTCTAACCTGCTGCTCAGGATGCACCATTCAGACTAGGGGGATTCAGCATTGCTGCTACGGCTCCCATTTCTTGATGAAGGGAAAAAGGTTCGAGGACGACAGCCCACATACACGAGTTAAGATCACTGCTGCCTGCACTTTCCTAAATGTACGACAGGACAGGGTCACCTCTGTGTTGCTGAATATACAGAGACCAAGTCAGCCTGCCACATATGCATGCTACACCCAAGTCCCATAAGGAGACATGCCTGCAGTTCTCAGCCCACTACATCTCCCATAAGCACTAGCTCAGCTGGGCTGAACTAAAACACCCCCACCAATGTAGGAGTCTCTGCAGGCTTAATTATAAACCCCTTAAGCTGAACCACTCTTTGTATAAACTAACATATGGGAACACGAAGAAAAAAACTAAAGACAAAACAATAAAAAAAAAAAAGGAACACACACATACGCTACACCACCCCACATGTTCTTCTGGTCCAAGTTAGACCCAGAACCTCCTCAGAGAACCACTTCTCTCAAATGGTTGCTCACAGACTAGGTTTTTACATTTATCCCTTCAGCACCAGATGCTTTGGGTATAGGACGCCCACTGGGGGAGACAGACAGGCGCAGGGCAGCTACGGCCTCTACAGTCAGAATATCTCAGGTTACACTGCAGCAGCTGACTTCCAAAGCAGCAGTTTCAGAAGGACACCCTCCTTGGCCTCACAGGCGCAGCCCAGGACGAGCCACAAGGGGGCGCTCAACCTCCACGTCTGGATGAATTCATTGTTTCTCCCAGGATGGAGGGAAGCAGGAAGCCCAGCAAATGCAACAAGGTTGTTATGATCACAGGAGATCAAGTGTCCCGCGTGGAAACGGCCCCTTCCTTTATTATGGCATCTTGTGGTCTTGCAAGTATGAGCTGCTTATGTCATGGCAAGCAGCATCTCCCCCTTGAGGGGAGATTCTGCGAATACAGGACATTCCACAGGTGTCACTCGCATACCCCCCCTCCCCTAAGGATCTGACACCTGCAACACTGGTCAAACTGGCTCTTTTCTGCCCACCCCCAAACCCGCATCCACCCCCCTGGAAATATCACCTTGTTACACAAAGCCTAACCCAACACCATGTGTGGCATTTCAACACAACTCAACTGCCAAAAAAAAAAAAAACTGGTTTATGCATATGTTTGTTGGTTTTGTTTTACCTTCATTTTAAATCTGACATTTCAAATCTTCCCATTTTCATAGATTATTTTTTTTGTCTTTAAATATATAATACAAATCTATATAACCCAAAAGTTAGAAATCTTATTTACAAAAACTATTTAAAAGCAGCTACCCTCCTCCAACGCAGAAGAGAGGAAAAGAAGAAAAATCTTCACACATAAGTCAAGAATTTCTTTTTTTTTTTTTGCTTTGTAAATGCTCTTTAGTTTCTTCCCATATGTTAATATGGCAATTGGTAAAATAGTCTTGCTTTCAGAATATTGATAAGGATTCAGCAACTATTTCAATTAGCTATACATACAATTCTTTAACGTTTCTGGTTGGTGCAGTTTATTTACTTAGAAAAAGAAAAACAAGACTTAGGTAGTTTTCCCAAAGAGAAGAAACCTTGTCTTCAAAAAGTCTTCTTTTCATCCTCTGTGGATGAAGACACGGTGACTGGCTGCTTAGCTGTCTCCCCCTGGTGGTGAACGTCAGTGCCACAAGCAACAGCTTCTCACAGAGCTCCCTCCTCTGTGCAGCCAGCGCCAGCTGTGTAACGGAACTCCTGCAGGTTGGACACGCCATGAAAGTGGACGAAGGCCCCCGCCACCACCAGGATGTGGAATAACTGGTGGGAGTGAAACTGTGGGAAGAAACGGGACAATTAGGATTGGAGGGGGGCGGGGCCACGGGATATTATCTTCTCAGTTTCAGCTGAGGCACATTTCAGGTTCGCCCTTTGCCTCAGAAACACTGTCTGTGCCCCGTAAGATGGTGACAATGCGTGTTATGTGAATGTCTCCACAGAGAAATTCCAGAAAGACAAACTCCCCAAAAGGACAGATGATCAATAAATAAAATGAATAGAGGCCATTTGTAATCTGGTTTAGTTAGACTGAGGACCGCGATCGTTCATTCAGCAGATGTGGGTGTTGGACTGAACCTCACTAAACGTCCCAGTGCGACTGAACGCAGGTTAGGAGCGGAGAGAGTTACGATGCTGTGTTCATGCATCACGTGTGTCGACTCACCCAGATGTCACATTTGCCAGGGAAGAACCTCTCTGGGATACGGAGGGCATACAGGCAGGCGCCGGTGATGTAGAGTGTGGCCATGAGGAACAGCCAGCCCATCTGCCCCATGGTGGTGGCTCGCAGGAAGCCCTCACTGATGACGAAGTGCAGCGTTGGGACAACTCCGCTCAAGCCCAGGCCCACAAACACCCCTGACGGAGGAAGATGGGTCACAACACTACTGCAACAAGCACACAGCCAATTAAAAGGATGAAACGTGTGCCAATGTCTGATACCAAGGCAGGGCCTGTCTTGAACTGCAGAATACTTTAGGTCCAAAGAGATTACAAAGGAATCAGCTGCTGAAGCTTTTCCTTGTGTATGAAGTGGCTGCCCACCTCTGGGTAACATCTAGGCTATTTTAACATCACAATCTTTAACAAGACGTTTAGAGAGCAGTTCCTCTGACCTGCCAGTGAATTCCCCGTCCATAAGGGCTCATAAATGTCAGCGAGGCCAGAAGAAGGTTAGGTAAATAGCCTCAGTAAAGAGGGCCATGAATCGAAAGCCTCAGATCGCCTGTCTCAGGGAAATGAATTCCTCCAAGATGGGAGGGAGGAGGGTGTTTTAGTACAGGAGCAGCATGAAAAGGCTGCATCCGAATGTTCCATCACTCCTCCCCATTAAGAGCTCTGGTCTCTGGCTTTTCCAACAAGCTAGTACCTAACAAAGAGGGTCCTTCTAGAATATCATAGCCGAACAAGCACTCCCAGAAGCAGTACCTAGCTTTTACACTCTGGGAAACAAATCAGCAGACTTTGAATTGTGCCAGATAACACGGGTTACGGTAAAGGAGGCAGTGCCACGTGGCGAGTCCACGTCCGCCACTCTGGGAGGAGACTCACCGGCGCGGACACCGCGGTACTGCGGCGTGGCAAAGAAATCGCACTGCGACACAGTGATGGCAGCCAGGCCCAGAACGCAGACCACGATCAGGTAGATGAAGCAGGGCTGCGGGGAGCAGTAGAATGAGTAGTATAGCCAGGGCACGAAGGAGCCCATGATGAGGAAGGCGATGCCTGAGTAGTCCAGCCTGCAGAAAGACATGGGGGGAGGGGGGGGGCCATCAGACCGGAGGCACATGGCGTCATTCATCTACAGCATACTATAAAACGTCTGGGAAATGCGCCTCTGAGCTCTTTCTTCATTCCCTTCCATCGACAGCGGGACGTCACGAGCATGAAGTGGCCCCCTCGACTCCATTATGGAGAGAGACCTAAGGCATTTGCGCCAATCAATACTCTTCTGTGTGAAACAGCAAAAAAAGCTTGAAGAGTAATCCTGGAGACGGCTGCCAGCCACGTCCCCGGAGCCGGGAGCTGGATGTGGGCTGCTCAGTACAACCTGGGCTACAGAGTGACCTTGCTGGGATTCTCGCAGAAACGTGAAGCAGCTGCTTACGGGGCCTCGACCACCACATTACTGGCTCTCGACAGTGACCTCCTGTGGCAGGTCGCGGGCGGTACTTACTTAGAGAACACGCGGGACACCCCCTCCGAGTGGCAGTAAACTGTGTGGAAGAGCCATGAGAAAGACAGGCAGAGGATGGCCCCTAGGAAGAATGCGCCGATGACAATCTTCTCCTGGAAGGGTGCCACAAAGGACATGTTGGGCCGGAACATGTAGAAGATGCCCAGGCAGAGGAAAAACAGGCAGCCTGGGGGGGAGAGAGGAAGGGAGGGGGTGCAGGTTAGCGTGAACAGCCTGAGCTAGCCATCTCTAGGTGTCAGCCCCCCCCCCAGCCAGTGCAACAGTCCAGTGATTTTATGAATATCAAAGAGGGGAGTCAGTCACGCTGAACCTGAGAGTTTGCCGGGGGAGGGGGGGGCACCTACGGCCACAGACCCTCCCACCAGGCACTCTGGTCACGCTCCAGCTTATAACGGAGTGGGGGAGACAGTCTTACTGGGGGAAGCGTGCTGTGCCTTACAAAGGCTCTGGGGTTTGTGACTGTTCAGCACTGAGATGATGAAGAGCCACTGTTTAGGTCTTAACAAAACACAACATGAACTGGCTTTCAGGAATGAATAATTCACAGATTTCAATCAGCAGAGTCAAGCTATCGGCAGAGGCACTGCAGGCCAGGCTCTGTACTCTGACTGTGTCCCCATACCCTGAATCTCTGCCTTGGTTCCTACATCAACGCACTTCAGTTACTGATCCAATGATATGTTGAAAGATGGTTTCAATACAGTGTCAAAAAAGACTGCGGGGACTAGTGGGTCTGGCCCCCTTTACACATCAGCTTCAGAACTGAGAAGCATGATCCAACTGTCTCAATGAGGTAAATAATATGCCCAGTCGTTTAAATTAAGGACGCATGACACCAGCAGACACCTGCATGGATCTGCATCTTTTCCGCGGCATCACTGCCTTCTTATCACGACTGCCCACAGAAAAACAGCCACTGCTGATTGCAGGCTGACAAGCAACTGAGCATGTTTATGACCTTCTAGCTACGTTTGATAGCGCTGGGAGAAATTACACAAAAGGCTGCATAGTTATAGGGGCCAGACTCAAGCTGAAGATCTGTGACGGAAAATGTCCAGGGGAAAAATGTGTACAATTGAAAACTGCTTCTGATAAAATGTGGCAGCTGAGTAACCAAACAGGCATCTTAAAGTCACACAGAGTACAGGGATATCGGATGCGTAATTCATTTCAGGCGAAGTAACCCTGGAAACAAAAACTCACATTTGCATGGGATATACATACATCAGAGGTCCTGTTTGCGTATCAGATAATGTTCACAACAACCGAGACCGTGTTCACTACAAAGCCCGAGACAAACGTCTGAGATTAGCGCGACATTCTCACAGCACACTATGGATTTCTCTGGTCAATGCTTAAAAAGCTTTAGACTAAACATGGACAGCTTTGTTTAAAAAGATGGGCACAATTCTCTCACTTGGGGGGAAGAAAAGTCGCTCTCCTCACCAGACAGTCACAAATTCAACACTAGGCGGCAGCATTCAGCCATTCACAAGAATGCGAAGTTCGCCCAGTTAGGAAGGAGACCATCACCCAGGCTTCATGTTTAACAGCTAGCCTTCACTGAGCTGAAGAGGCTGTATAAAACGTGGGCTCCATGAGCGGCCAGGTTCAGTCACCCCTTATGCAGTGCACCAGCTGGTCAGCACACTCCTGACTCTGCACTATGGCAGGTCTCCCCGCTTGACCTAGAGATTACATACGGTCCAGAAGCAGCAGGACGCATAGGTACGCTAACGGCCGAAGAGCACCCATCCTTCTTACCCAGAAGGTGAGTCCAGATGTTGCCCGTCTCTGTGTGGATCCTGAATATGCTCTTGAAACAGGCCCTGAAGGAAGGCATTGGAGGCCGGTGGCCATGCAGCAGGAAGTCGTTGTCCTTCAGCCAGTCGGGAAGGACATCGTGAGGGATTACGCGCCACCGGCCCTCCCATACCTGGGGTAGGAGGGACACAAACGGCGATCAGAGCCCTCAGTGGCCAGGCTCACTGCTTTCTTACAGCTGTGCTGGGACTTAGTGACTCAATTAAATCTTTACCTAAACCAATTCAAACCACTTAGCTGCAGAAGGTAATTAAGAAGCTCAATTAAACAGTCAGCAATTACATCACTTGGATCTCAGTGGGAATGGGAACTGGCACAGCTCGGGCAAGAGCCTGTCAGGACCAGTTAGAGAAAATGAATACAACAGGGATCACTGGAGACGACCCCCCAGGAGCCTAAAAGGCCTACAAATGAGCCGCCTTAACTCCATGCTAAATGCCCGATCATGTCCTGCGGCCCCGACCGCGTTCTAAACCTCGTCTGCCACTCTGGGAATTACTTTACTTCCGTCCTGTTACCCTCATATCTGCCATGCAGTTATTCATGTTTCACGGGTGCAGCCAGGGAGCGAACAGGGGACGCTAAGCAGAGGCAATGCTGAGGAAGAACCGGTTCTGTTTATTTTGGAAGACTTCAAGGATCTTAGATTTTTACTGCCGTACAGTCATGTATAGAATTACATCACCAGGTATGAGGATTTCACAAGGTGGGTGAGATTACCGGCCCGTCCAGTTTGGTGCTGCTCATTGGTTGCATTAACCTTTTAACCACAACATTACAATATGTTCTGAATGCTGTACAAAGGATTCCATGTCAGCTGGGCCACACTAAACTGTGTTGGCTCATGGCTAAAACCTACAGTGGATCTCTCTAGCAAGGGCAGCTGACCTTGTGCACAAACTCCTCCATCTTCTCCATGGCGTGGTGGGCCTGCAGCAGCGGCGTCATGCCCATGAAACCTTCATCAGAGCTTTTCTGCTCCTCTTCCTCCTCCTCCTCCTCCTCCTCCTCCTCCTCGTCTTCCTCCATGTCTCTCTGTTGCTCAGGCTCTGTCACCATGTCCTGCAGGGGTAAACACTGTCAAAGGTCAAGGGCATGTAGGGGAAAATTTAATTCCCAGACATAGGGAGAGAAAGGCAAGCATATAGGCCAGGGGTCACCAACATGGTGCCCACGGGCACCAGGATGCCCCCAAGGACCACATGAGTCGCCCGCGGATCTGTTCTAAAAATAGATCAACTCACCAGTGAGCAGCGTCTAAAATAGTCATTGTTGATAAAATCATAAACATGATCAGTGTCTTCACATAGATGAGTATCATTAAGCATTAATAATAATATATAACTCAAGGTAAACTGAGCAGATTTGTTATTTAAGAAGATTGTATAGAATTGGTAGCCCTTCGTATGGCTCAGTACCCGTGAAGTAGCTCTTAGTTTCAAAATGGTTGGTGACCCCTGATATAGACAGTCTTGCATTTTACACTGATTTTACGCACTGAAATGACTATTGTCTGTAAAGAGGCTAATTAATATCACACTGATTCTTGCAACAGCGCCTGAGGTGTGATGCCGTTGTTTGCAGTAGGCCAGATGTCCCCACCCCCCACACTAAGGTCACAAATGCAAGCACCAGAGAATGGGACGAAGGATCGTCGTCTAGCAAGATCCCATTTGAAAAACACGGGCAATTATTAACCCTGAGGCAGCAAGAACACACTGTAGTTTAAGAAAGATAAAAATAGCAAGCACACCACAACAACAAGAGCTTTTAAAATGGAGCTGATCCAATGAATAAAGAGTACAATTCCAGTTTTTAAAGTGTGAGACAAAAGACAGATCTGGTGCACTCTACTACTGTCCCTGTGGATTTTCTATGCCCACAAGTGCAAATAAAAAAGGTTTCGTGCTGCCATTAACATACAAAAACATCTATGGATTAATTGTTAACACTAACTAGAGCAGTCCACGATAACGATCTTTCACAGAAACTGGTTCTGTGACTGCCCAAGTGCCTATAGCATCTGGCATTTTAAAATGTGTTTTGGAGTGAGGGCATGCGTGTGTGTGAGGAAGACTGCAAACGAGCAGCACAGGAGCATTAACTGGTATTAACAAGTCAGGAGAATCCAGGGGTACTGGCAGTAACCGGCACCAACAGCATTTCAGTAGGCCAGCCATCTGAAACTGCACTGCTTCCTCACCGCGCTGCCCGCACACACTGAGCCAGGGCAGCCTCACGCAGACCCACTACTGCCTCACTGCGCTGCCCACACACACTGAGCCAGGGCAGCCTCACGCAGACCCACTACTGCCTCACTGCGCTGCCCACACACACTGAGCCAGGGCAGCCTCACTGCTGATGCGTCAGTCCCCGACGGCCTGCTTGCTAAAGGGAACAGCTGCAGGTGCAGCAATTTGGCCAAAGAGCTCCAGGTGCATTCAGAAGGCCCAACAGGACACCGAGAGGAGGGGAGGGGAATAGAAGAACCACAGGCTCAGGACGTAAACCAATGACACGGGGCACAAATGCTACTGTAGGAAAGCGGAACAAATACTTTCAGTCAGAGAGGACGTTATGAATCTTGCACCACAAATCATGCCTCAATTTAACAGTTGTCTTTATGCAACACAGCACAGTTAGATTTGTAATAAACAAAAGACCAATTTCCCCAGAAATTCTGAACTTCATTGCCTGCTTAGGTGCTTACGCACATGACTCTATTCCCATCGAAGGAAGAAACAAAGGGAGATCATAATGTGACCTGCTTAGGGACATGAGAAGTCAAATGACGAGGCAATAAAGGTAATTTGTTGCAAAAACAAGGACATTTAAACAATAGGTGGAAAAAAGGACAAGCAGGTTTTCAATACAAGAGCCCCTGGGGCTGCCAGGGCCCCCCACGTCCCTGAAGCTTAAAAAAAAAAGGGGGGGAATCTCACATTGATTATTCATTCCAGGGCAGCTCTACGCTGCAGACAGCAAAGAGGAAATGGGAGGAACAGTGCCACAGGACATCAGGAAAAGGTCATGCACGGTTGAGCTTAATCTGCACAAAGTGATGTGGATCACACACACACTCACCTTATACTCACATATTTCACATGAAACATGCATATCCTGCAGCGACTACCATTAGCAAGCAAAAACGTCACCTGGAACCATGTAGCTTCCAAATGGAACAAAATGGGAAGAACTTACATTACCCACATTCAACGGCATATCAATTACCAAGCCCCGATATTAGGAGTAGTCAAAGCTCAATGACGCATTTATCTGGTACCAAAAAAAAAATTATAATAAAAGCAGTGCTTCTACACCATAAGAGCAGCAGGAGGAATTTTATAGTGACCCCTCACTGCCACCCCCAGCACAGGTCAGACAGAGATGCATGATAATTAAGGGGCCAGAGGTACACAGTTGGACTCACAATCACCCTTATGGTTGGACTTAGAGCTTCTTAAGTCCCTTCAGCCACCTGCTGCAGACAAAGCCTTCATATGCATGAAAATAGCAGTGATATATACCCAATGCTGCACTGACAAAATCTGATTTAAATAATAAGAAGAAAAAAAAACCACCAATGTTTTCCAAAGGATTAAGACAGAGAATATGTGGTCATACTGGAATGTTTTCACCATAGTGCAGCAGGAATCTTTAATACTGGAACCAGGAACTGATGACACCAGATGAAGCCCATGAAGGTGCATGCTCAGACATTATTTCACTCATTTAATTTTTAATTGCCACTACCATGGATGGATATACAGTGGAACCTCGGATTACGAGTAACGCGGTTTACGAGTGTTCCGCAAGATGAGCAAAGATTTTTTATAAATTTTGACTTGGAAACCGAGCAAGTCCTGGTTTACGAGCGCCAAGTATCATCAAAAATCATATGGCACACATGCGCTCCTTGTTTTTCTTGTTTTTACGTGCGTTTGGCTTCAAAACAGGAAGCGCATGCGTTCACTTCTTGTTTTGACGTCGAGCGCACGTCATCACAACTGAACCAATGGTTATTCACTTTCTCACGCTGCGGAATTGTGGGTAATCGTCTCCCATGCTCGGTCTCAGTCGGCATGCCTCACTCATATAGTCAAAATTTAGTAGAAAAGCACCACCTGAATAAGGGCGTAGCAGTGCGAGCGATGAATCTGTTTAACGACAATGCAATGTCCACATTTTTGCAAAATCGAAAAGGAGGCAAAAGAGGCTGTCATTGGATAGGTTCCTTGTTAAAGTCGCACAAACAGAAAAAGATTCCAGTGAGCCAACAGATAGCAGTGATTCCGTTAGTTATAGTGAAAGTCGTCCTACAAAATAACCCTCCTCTTCTCTCTCGTCTCCCTCACACCATCCACGATTCTTTTCAAAGGTAAAGCGCAGGTTAATTTGTTTTATGTATTTTTACTTTATATTTTGTATTAATAATTTTTATATGAATATTTTTGAGTTGTGGAACGGATCATATGAGTTTCCATTATTTCTAATGGGAAAATTCGCTTTGATATACGAGTGCTTTGGATTACAAGCATGTTTCCGGAACGAATTATGCTCGTAAACCAAGGTACCACTGTACATATCATCTTTATTCAGACCCAACAACCCATGTTACCATGCACAGTAAAATTCAAAACTAACCTAACATTCGACAAGCTAAATGAGACACCAACGAAAAGTCAGAATACACAAAAATGCCCAGAACTATCAAACCTCTTTTGGCCCTTTCTAGCTTGCTAAAGCTATAAAGCCTAGCTGCAGTACTACTTGGTCTAAGCTGCAGGACTATGGGGTCTGTCTAGTTTTACTGTAATCCAGCCCTTGTGAAAGGCTGTGGTTAACCTCCAATTGATTAATAGCCACCCACATGACATAAGCTACTTTAGTAGAGGAGTCGTGGATCCAGGACACTGTCAATTCGAAAAGGACAAACTGCTAAAGGTTCACCAGCACAGGATGGCATATGGAGTTCTGGAAAACAACCACACGCCACATTTACACGTCACATGGACACATCTTCCCATTCAGTGCAATCCATATCTGACAGCTGGTTGGCCAGGCAAGAAGAGTCAATAGGATCAACTGTGTTTATTTCAAAGGACATGCACATTTGGACCATTTCTGTTGACTGGCCAACACAAAAGGTCATGCACATTGTGTTCTGAGCCCAGCAGAATTCTGTACTAGAATGGATGGCAATGCATTCGGAAAGAATGAGGTAAGAGGTTCTGAACAGGCACATGTGTATCTACTCTACCCAGGTAAGAGCTAAGCCATGTTTGCAGTAAAGATATCTGTAGCGGTTTCACCTCTAGTTATATCAGTCTCCCATGTCACATGGTTCAATACATGCTCACAAATAATTCTACCTACAAATAAAATTGAAATTTGCCATCTTGACAAACTCAGGAAAGTTTGTGCCATACATGCACAGCTCAACAAACCAAACTAATAAAATCGTAATAAAATTACACTTCTTTTGCAATCAGGTTTGCCAAAATGTGTAAATTAAAAAAGGGAGACACTGCTTAAGCAATACACAGAGAATTATCATTTAAACAATTTAATAGTTTAATACAGTTTCCAAGTAGGACTCAACAACTCAAGTCACCCAGTCCACAGCACCATTCCATTTCCTGGTAAAAATATCACTTCATAGATCAGTCAGGAAAACTTGACCTTTGCACAGAGTAAACCATGCACAGGCAGTCATGTGACAAGCATAGAAACTCAGATCACACTTCCATTCTACCATGTTTCCTTCAAATACAATTACACAAGGCAGTGGCTTTTCTCCCCCTCCACTTTCACCCAAACAACCAGGATTACTTATCACACCACCTTCATTTCAGGCTAATAACCGTAATGCAATTCAAAAGCAACACTGAAATCAGCACTAGCATTTCTACAAATTAGCGACCAAAGAAAAAAAAAAAAAAAAGTGACTAATATGAAGACAAGTGTAATAGAGAGAAACAAAGAAATAAAAGCAACTACAGGACATGCGCAGGCTACTTGTGAAAAGGCCCACAAGAATCTGCATGTATCCCAAGCGCCAATATTCACATAATTCATTCACGCAATCCACCTACATGCATGCGCTAAATCACAGAAGCCACTATTTTATAAGCTTTATATTCCTTAAAGGTGTCATAAAACTGACACAAATTGGTGCTTTGTTCATTTCACGAGATTATTCTGGTTGCGAAAACTGTGGCACCAACGAAAATGAGCTACGGTACAGATGTGCGGAAGAGAAACCTGGAATATCTGTGCCCAGTGGCACAAATAAGTCACAGAGACTTCCTCTGGGATTCCCCACCTGAGGTATCACAATCATTTAAAGGCCAAGAAGGAGTTCCCACACGATGCAGGGGGGCCAAGCAGTGTGCAACCACGCACCCCTGAAGTGCAGGGAGTTTGCACTAAACAACCGTGCATTCCGGAATTACACCCTCTGGGTTTCCACTGCTGATGGACAGAACTGAGTGAAGGCAAAATGCAGTGACTGGTCCCAGAAAGGAGAGAGGGTATACTTATGCATTAAGTATTTCCTGCTTTTTCTACTGAATCATCATTAAAGATAATAATCATTAAAATCCTGCCCCCTCCAACTCTGTTGCAGTGAGAAATAAAAATGCCAGAACAGTACAGCACAGAATTGCTCTACTCTGGACGGCAGTTTTACCCCTCTGGCTAGCAAACAGAGGTTCCACAGACCGGTGCTAGTAATTCCACCAGGCTGCAAAATGCTAGGGGTTTGGGGGAGGGGTTGGTTTATTTCCGAAAATAAACCAGTTATTTTCAAGCCACGCCTTTTTAATAACGACCCCTAGCGTTTGTGCGTTCTGATAGCAAAAAAAAAAATAAATAAAACTGAACTGCTAAAACCCAAAATGCACCCCAACACACAACAATCAGCCGGTTTATAGGGAAATTTCTGCAGTGTATGCTGGCCTACAGCCACCAAAAAGTTGGGAACCCCTAGTTTACAGGACTTGAACTGCAGTCATTACTAGATTCCCGGTAAGGTAATTAGTCTGAACCGCAAGCTGAAATGCAACTTGATAACTGAAACACACTGTGGTGCCCTTGGTGGCAGAGACATATTTGAGGACACACACCTGGTACAAAAAGAAAAAAAAAAAAGAAAAAAAATTTAATCCATGACTGACAGAAAAAAAGAACACGGCCTGGAGTGATGCCCAGTTACAAAAAAACCATACTGAGGGTGCCAACCAATAACAAGAAAAACCAAAAGCCATCACTTCCTGTCAACAGCAGTGGGAAAATTACCATCACCAACATTCTGTGCATTTCAGATAAGTAAAAACCCGAAGGCCTAACTGATCACACATACAGCAGGTCTTGTGACAGAGTAGCAGGCATGTGTGATGTTTTTATTTTCCACCCCCACTGAGAAATCTCATTGGTCCATCTACACACAACCCTTTAAAAACGTAAAAATATAAAAACCCTTTTAGGTTTCACAAAAACCGCAGTGTAAATTTTGAAAATGTGAGCCATTTGTCAACGACAATTTGTAGGCACTGTCAAAATAAAAGGAATTTGTACTTATACTGACTATGCATATGATAAACTGAGCAAATGTACTTCAAAACACAAAGTGGTTTATGCAATCATTAAGTGTGTGTGAGAGGAAACGCCCTCATTTTAGGCTATGGCGACGCTGACACAGCATGGTGAGAATTGTACAGATAATGCTGAAGTTGCCCATAACCCAGAGTGTCTCCCTAGGCAAAGTGAAACCCCAAGATAAATGAGCAGCAGCCTGCACCTGTTACCAAGCCCAGGCCTGTTTAAAAATTAACCAGAAAACCAAATTGATGCTGATATATCCGAGTAGATGGCTTTGTTACCAGCCTGCTTCAGGTTACTGGCCCCAACAGGGCTAGTTTACCATCACATTACTCTGCTAAGTGTACCATATCACAGTGCCAGGGTCCAAAGAGAGTGTGGATACAGACCATCTTTTAAAGAAAAAGGAAAACACACACACAACGTATCCTTGAGAGTGGGTAACTTTCCAAGACTAACACTACAAACAAACGGGCCAATCAACTTATAGGGCAGACAAGCAGGCAACCAACAGCTGCTGGAGTCAGACGAACTCCCACCAGACCAGCAACAGGAGCATGACCTTCAGATGGGATTGCGCAAGCAGTGGTCCGCTAACAGCAGCCATCACCAGCGAACGCTAAATGGCATTTAGCACCAAGGCCATTCTGACCAACTCAGGACAGGCACAACTGCAGCCTGTGACTCAGGATTCTGCCCGTTCTCAATCCTGTGTTAGTAATGTTCACAAGTTTATAGCATAAAAATGCACAAAACCCAAATTGGCAGGTCAAAAGCCAGCAACTAAATGCCACGTTTAGGAGCAGGTCGTCAAGGTCACATCGCACTCGTTCCAAAGAGGCCCAAGCTTCCCAAAACCCATGATCGCCCAGAGCACACTTACCCCATTTTGCGTGCAGTCAGGGCAGTGGTCACTGCTGCCCGCACACGCTGCGGAATCGCCCCCCGTGGGCTTCCGAGGGCTCATGCCAGCCGTGCAGCCCCTGTGCCTCAGAAGGAAGGCTGCAGGCCGGCTGTCCTCCAGATTCCCGACTTCCAGCTTGCCTTATGGAAGGCCTGCCACTAACACTGCTCAAAACAGACAGTGGATGTCTGGAGAGAAGGGTCAGGTATAGAAGGCCTGAACCGGCGGTGCTGGTCTGCAGGGCCCTGCTATGGGAGCAGGGGTCCGAAAAGCCTTATTCTGCTCTGCCTGAAGACCAGAAAGTCCTGTATACAGGGACAAAAAGGGATTTGGGTCATTAGTCATCTCCCAAAACATACCCGACAAAACAGAAATCAAAAGCTAGGAAATATTATTATTATTAATTATTATTATTATTATTATTATTATTATTATAATACAGGAACTTTCTAAATGATACAAATGTCCTTACCGTAAGCATGCAAATAAAGTGTAGAAAAGGTGTAAAGCAGAAACTACAGTTACTGGGATGCCAAATTAAGAAACAAGGTAAAGACCTTACATGAACACACTTACAACAGACTATTAGCATGTACCAGGCGGCAAGAACTCATTCCAAAAACCCTGGGGAGGCACTGTGCTGGAGGAGCAGGGGGCCCAGTTTCCACAGCTACCACGTGGCAACCTGGACTGGGCTGCGGCCAACCCCCCCCCCAACTAAATTTAACCATCTGAGTGTCACACTACAAACCTTGGCAGCTGGGGCCAACACCACCTTGTGCAACCTAAGTTCTTGGAAAGGAAAAGAGCACCTCAGTTATGGCAGTGGTCCGGGCTGCTCGCAAACTGACTTTGCAGGAGCACTGAGTTTTGAGTAAGGCAGGAATTTTGATTCAAAACAGAAATATTAAGTTATATAGAGGACAACCCTAACACCCTCAAAGAAAAAGCTTTGTACTCTGCCATCTCTCACTAAATCTTGCCAAGAAAGAAGCATAAACTTAGACGAGGTTGTCAACAGTGGTTGTTCTGCTGGTGCAAAAAGAGTCATTTTTGAGTAGCAACTATAGACTTTTTGCAAAATGACTTTTGCTTGATATTAACTGTTAAAGCCATATTTCAAAAACAGAAATTCCATAAATAGTATTTCCGAGATACACAAGGTCCAGTAATTGGTTCCACAGTGATTTGTGAGGCAAAAACCCACTAACATGTTCATCAACCATACAGACATGAAAGCTAAAGCAAAAAAGCCACAGATGAGCTGATCCATAAAATGACCATCATCTTTAAAAACGAGAATTAAGAAAAGAACAGAAGAAAAACCCCAAGTTTCTGACTAGCCAGATGGTGACAGTGACATAATTGTTCAGAACCAAAACATGTGGAAACTGTAAACACACAACAGAGTAGTACAGGTGTGCCTTCACTGACAATACCCAAGTCAGAGGCTCACAAAGGGCCATCAAACAGGACTCAAAACTTCCCCAGTTTCACCACACATAAAAAGCTTCAGTCAGCACAAAACACTTCATTTCCCAAAAGGCCTTTGACATACCAAGTACCACTGCTTGGGGGGGGGGGGGTGTTATTGCTGAGTCTTACAGCAAGACTCCATTTCTGCAAAGAAATTCCCACAGACTTGTGTTAAAAAATGAAATCCTGCCACTTCTTTCGTCATTTATTTAAGAACCAGAAGCCAACAATATAAAAAAAGATTCTGGCAAAAGATTTCTACAGAATGGAATACTACAGAAACACTGAACACATCCTATGACAACTAGGAAACAGAACAGAGCCAGATTCAACATTTTACGCAGTTTTTAATGCAAGCCATATCACTGATAGCATCTAATGACGAGTCAGCTGACAGTACAAGTCTTAACTGAGGAAGCTTGCTGTATCAGTCTTCCCAGAAAGTAAGATATGTGGTAAATTTCTGCACACCAGACACCAGTTACACTGAAACCTACTTTCTCACATCTGGTAGTCAGATAAACCATCTTTCAGTTCACACATTTTCAGTTTTTTTTTTTCCTTCAGTTGATTCTTAAGATTAAATGTTTTTCATCACCGGGTCCTGTATTTTCAGATCTTGCCTACTGCTGCTCACACTGGAGACACACTCTGCTAGGGATAATCCTAGGTCTGAGCAGCAAAAATAAAAAAATAAAAAATCCACCACAGAAAGGTGTTCAGGCCAGAAACCACCAAAGATGAGCCTAATATCCTAAGAGGCAAACATTTATTTTACCGAACCGGACAAAAACCATGAAAACAGACACCCTGCATCCAATACCAGGATCACATCTCTTTCATCAAGCTTAATCAATCATACTTTTTCAGAACAATCAAGGCAAATAAAGAAAAATAATTTGTTGACTATTTATAGAAGATAACTAGCTATTGAGACACTGTATTACATACATCATCCCCACATACCTTGATTACCTATTCCCTTCATTAATGCCTTTGTCAGTTTTCAATGACGTATTAAGAATAACTCATAACTTACTAAATCATTGTAGCAATGCACACTCAATGGTGGTAAGGTACCAAGAAGGTAAAAAAAATACCAGACACAAACAAACAATCATGATTAGTTACTATGGTCCATTTTGCTCTCAGTTCTGAGCCTCATTCAGAAGAACTACATTTAAAAAGTGGCTAAAGTAATGAGGTTTTAAAATTAAAACTACACTGTCAAATAAGATTACAGTCACACAAACCATCGTGAGATGAACCACCTTACACTAGCAAATGCATTTTAGAATAACAGTTTGAGAACTACAGGTCAGGGAGAACAAAACCGAGAACTGTCATTAATCCACTGGCAGTTCCAGGGATGTCAGGAATATGTTCAGCAGAGATTAAGAACTCCAAAGAAAGAGAACCTCTGATGAAAGTAAAGTAACCCCCAGCTTTACTTGCTTATCTCCCCCCAATGGCAATAAAAGTCTCATAGTTGTCAAAGATAAGGTCAGAAATGAGGACAGTAAAAAATAAAACAGGATTAAGACATGAGGCTCATCAGTGAGAAATTGGGTGCAATTTACTCACTGAAGTTTCCCCACACAACAGGAGGCAGAGCAGTATAAATGACCATTAAATGCTCCGGTTTAGATCATGATGGGAGTTCAGTGATTAGGCCGACTCGATTGCAAATCTCTTGGGTATTCATTACGCAACAAAACAAAGAAATGAGTGGAAGGAAATGACTCATACTAACACAGCTTTAAAATTGCCTAGATAAACCAAGTCCACCAGTTCAGCACCACTTTGGCTGCATGTCTGAGGGAAACCCTGGAATCAGCAGGTAGATTTTGTATAAAAAGTAGGTTGACTACTACAGGGCTTCAGTCTAAGTGAGCAAGAGGGATCAAGTTGACCATTTTCCACCAGAACGGCATGAGTGATACTGACATCACACACTTACAGTTCAGTACTTGATTCTGCCCCGTAAAACTATCAGTGACAGCTGTTAAACAGATTATACATGAACATTTTGTAGCAACATTTCAGGCAGATAAATCCAACACCATTGTGAAACATCATCTGAAGTGTGAGCAGCTTTGATGAAGAGAAAAGACCATTCAAAGCAAAAGCCTTTACTGGAACAATCTCAGGGCACATCAGCCATGTGACTGGTTCAGAAGTCAGAGTGACCGAACACCATGCTACCCCTTAAACACTAGGCTTTTTGTCCCATAATCATATGACATGACAGATAGAGTCATTCGCGCTGGTTTAGACAAGCAACAATCAAGGGACAGAACGGTTGTGGGGGAACAAATAGCCTTCATTCAGGGCTACACACAGATGGGGGTGTGGTGAAGGTGACCTTCAAGCCACCAAAACAATAACAGCAGAACCGTTAATGTAACTGTCTACTGAACAAAAGCATTTTTCGCTGATTAAGTGTGAATTTGAGGAGCAAAGAGAAAAAACATTTAAGACCACTAACATGAACAATGAAGAAACACTACATGCTACAGGCTATACTGCAATACCTTAATTTTCTGTCCTACCTTGGGCTTACTCTGGAATTACAAAATGCCTAAAGGTGGGACAAAGAACAGCAAGTTTCCACCTACAGTAACACTACAAAGGAGAAAGTACCGCAACCTACTTCCTCCCTCCCTCCTAGTAGAAGCCTCCTCAGACACTGATACAAAAGGGTGTTTTTATATTCCACCTGCCCCAGCTGTCTCCAATTCAACCAGCAAACCAGTGAGTGTAGTGTCTGTCCCACTTAAACATTTTGCCCAGACGCTCTAGCTATTCAAAAATCCGCTAGTTATATCGCAGTCTGAAAGACCCTGTTAGACTCCAATTATTATGTTCTATATCTCAAGGGCAACAAATAACATAGTGGCACAGCACTGATTGATTTATTCATATGCCCTCAGAGGAAAACAAAGATGAAATAAAAGTTCAACTGTGCCAATTAAGAATTCATGCTTGTTTGCAAAAATGGTTTGTAGTAAACAGAAACAAACAGGGCAAGAGCACATAGAAGGGAATATTTAAATCCCATTTAAACACTTATACAAGAGCTGTTTTCAGTTTTTAGAACCTCTTGATTAAGTCACTGCTAAGCAATAAACTTCCCTATTGGGCATACTTTTCTGTGAACTGACAAATATAAGGTTAGAGCAGCACGTCATTTAGTAGAATGCAACTGAGCAAGTTTGTTCAAACATTGACCAGGAGTATGTCATTAATATGCAGATTACACCCTCAAAGGCTTGAAGAGAACTTTTTTGGCAAAGGCTTACCTGTAGATTAAGTCACCTGAGAGGTATCAGACCTACTTTAGAGAGCAGAAGGATCTGTAGACACTGTGGGTTAAGAGGCAAACAAAATCATGCATTACACAGCTGGGAGACACAAAAAACGTACTGATCTCTGAATGAAGAGGACAACAGAACATTGTACTTCTGCAACGAAAAACACGAGACAATGCAAAAATACAGTTTTCTACACTCTCACAGTATGGGTGTTTCAGCTCCTAATAACAGCGATTTTTCACAATGACAGCATCCAGCACCGGTTACAGATTTGCATGCACTAGGATATTATGCAAAGCTTAAACACCTTTCTGAAATTTACTTCAAAGTACTGAAGAGTCTGTCAGGAACACTAATCATACATTTTAGACACATTACAACTATAACAAGTCTATAAAAGTCCCACAACAAGGAATAAAAAGCAGGAGGATCATTAGTCCACTGATAATCTAACTAGATAATTATTCTACTAAATGTAATAAAATGCTCAAAAACTAAATTGACATAATTCAGTACTTGCGTGACTTTAGAACCTACTACTCCACAGACACATCCACTGGTTTTATTTGAAAGATTTAAATTAGCCCCCCAGATGAAATGATAGTCATCAAACCCAACATTCCAGTAACCCGTTTAAGTTTCTTTCTCTTATTTACATATAAATGCCTCAGATTTCTATTGTTATCGATTCAATCTAATCTAATTCTTAGATCACATATTTTTCCAAGGAGAGTTTCGGGGTACTAACTGCAGCCTGCCCTTAAAATAAAACTTGGGTTCTTTGTGTCTAGTGAGCTACAGTAAATAGGCTGAGAACGGTCTACTGTAAAGAGCAGTGTCCGCAGCGGAGGACATGCAAAGTTACTGCTTGAGGGGAAATCGTAGTGGAAGGTTTTAAGGGGGGAATAAAGAACCTTTAAAACAGGCTTCGACCACTCAACGAATTAATATTGTGTAAAATTTTAAAGGTAATAATCCCCGGTAACGCAAGTAAATAACGGAGTTACAATGTAGCGCCACTGAGTTAAGAATAGCCATCAGGTTCAACTTTCACCTGATTATTATTTTTGAGAGATCAGTCTGGCCAGCGTACTTGCCATACAATGATACATCACTGAGTCGCATCCGGTCTGGAAAGTCCAAATATGAACGTATACATGAAACCACCATAAGCCCTTGTCGATACGGTGTTTATAACATACACCATTTACACCGGGACAAAGAAATTAATACGCTGTGGTTTTCGAGGAAGCCGGACAGCTATAATAACGCCAGAGTAATTTCAAAACGGAGATTGCCTGGAAGAAGAGATATAAAAAATGCAAATTCTTACTATCGACGTTACCTAAAAACATAATTATTTACCAGACAGCCACTTAAATGCTGTCTGTCGGAGCAGCGCCTCTCCAGGTACTTTGTTTAGCTCGGATTGTGTGTTAATATCAAGCGTTCGGTTAACATCTAAACACACAGCTGCTCGTGTATTAATGAACACCGGCAGAGCTGTCCTGTTCCTCTCAGCCTCCGCTAATGCCAGGGCTCGTAACGCTGGGCGAGGACACCCACCAGGAGCGTTGTTATTGTAGCCCGCTAGCTGCGAACGACGCCTGCCTCAGTACCAATTAGCTTAGCGTAGCTACCTAGCTACCTAGCTAGCTGGACTCTGTCTGCTCGCGCGCCCCACGAAACAAGACAGACACATACAAAACACACTCACACAAGGACATTATAAGTTAAATTACCGTAAAGTGAGACCGAAGCGCGCTGTCCTCTGTACATAACAGAACAAAAGCAGAACCGTAACAAAGAAGCACCCTTGGCTCTCCGTAGACTCTCGCTTTCCTTCAAACTGACTTGACTTAACTTGACTCCCTGACGCCGTAGCTCCGTGTGTGACGCCCCTCGCGTGAGAGCGGACAGCCAATCAGTGCCTTGCATGCCTGACAGGTGGTTAGTGGTTCAGGAAGAGAATCGCTGCACAGTAACGAAGAATGGTTTACGGTATTTGAAGTTTTTTGGGTGTTATTGTTCGGCGTGGTTTACGTCGTGCGTTCTAATTATGCGATTAATGTCAATTAAATTGCAGTTTTTATTATAAGGAAATTTTAAGATTGGGGAAGCGAATCTATCACACGGTTATGGAATCGATTTCCTCTTTAGAGTTGTCAGTTAGTGCCCTTTGACGGACAGGCATCCCATTCCTGGTGTTCTACGCTACCTATCCCGCCAAGTATAACAGATTATAAATAAAGTTATGGAAAACTCATGGATGTTTTTAAGTAAACGTCATTATTTTAAAAGCAAGTGCTTTTTAAATTTATATTTTTAATCATATAGTCATCAGCACATTTTCTAACATTGATATATTTTAATGTTTTAGCAAGTAAACATAATATGAATTCATATAAGACCTTGTTTAAAACAGGAAGAGCTTGTTTATAACAAGTCATGCCGATTTTTTTGAACTGATCACTTTTGCTGCCCAACGAGTTTAACATCCATCAACTGTAATGTAAATGCTATTCATGACTAAATGTCACAAACAGAATTTGAATAGAAGACTCTTTCCTCCACAATTGTGAAATGTAAACATGCTAAGCTGGTAGATGTTGCGCAAGAAGTAGGTGAACTAGTTCAAATGATCATTTTGTTGGTGAATGAAGGCAACACACCATAGTGCAAACCCTCCTATTGGTTGTATCAATGTCACAAGTATATGCACCATTCTGTACAGACTGCCCTCTTCTAGTGTGTGATCTTTGGAGGAAAGGGTGATTGGTCAAAGGTCTGCCACTGAATCAAGTCCAGGAATAAAATCAGATGATAGCAAGATCTTTCGCAACACCAGCAGTCATAGCTTGGAGTCCCACCAAAGTGTGTTGTTGGAGCTTTGAGACAATCAAAAAAATGTGTTTGTGCGAGTTATGAAGAGTCAGTGCACATGTGTTTCTGTTTTAATCTCGGTTTAGAAGAAAACAATATGAGCATTTAAGTTGTATGTAACAATAGTAATATTCCCATGTGTAAGTGTGTATGTGTGTGCGTGCGTGTGTGTGTGCGTGTGCATTGGTCAGATGAAGTGGCATGACTTTAACCTTGGTGCTTCCAGCTTGTATCACATGAGCAAAGTCCATGGTAACTGTCACTTTTTCCGGGAAAACCAAAGCAATTGCAAGTGACAGGGATGCCTGGGCTACATCTACAGTTCAAAACACAAGGCACATGTGGAGCTACATGGAAAATGCTGACATCTTGAAGGAGAAAGAGTGAGCAGAGGTGGAGACAGGAATGGAGATACTGGAGATCCATTACTTGCAGAGTCCCTACAAAAGCCAAGATGTCACACCCAAATCACAGACATTCCAGTGAGCACTTAGAACCAACCCCCCTCCCACAACACAAAACTTCACAAAACCAAACCTTCTTTAATGTTCTAGAACATGTGCCATCTTCCTTTCATGATCAGTCTGTTTTTTTCCCCCTTGACTACTGAGAAACTGTAATCCAGTAAATTACAGTTTTATGAAGTTTTACTGCAGGGGTTGCACTATTTTTCAGCACTCGCATTTCTGTAACTCGGCACCACCTAAATCTGTGTTATTACAGTCTTTTGGTAATCTCAGTAAAATGTGTGCCTGCGAGGTTTTTGGTAGGCACTTATAAGAGGTATCAGCGAGGCTGGACCTGGGCGTGATTCTGAAAAGATGCGTTTATACATGTAATGATAGGCGAAAGCAAACACATCCCGACATCCGCCCAGCGAGAACAAAACCAGCAGTTTGTGTGCTGAGGGTTGACCCCGTGAGAACAGCAGTAAAGCGCTTCTATCTAATAACTGTTCGCAATGACAAGAAGGTGATGATCCTAGCAGAACAATTATGAACTAAAAGCATGTACAGCTGAGAAAGCCAGCAGAAAAAGCACAGTGTGTGCCAGCCAAATAAAGAACTGATACAGTTCAGAATACAAACAAGATATGGTGGACTGATAGTCAGCTTACAGTACGTGGGACTGAGAGGGAAGGAGGTGGAGGGTTTGTTAGGTGGAGAGATGGCTGTGAATCCATGGGCAGTGATGACTGCTGAAAGACACGTGTATGGTAGGACTGGCAGGTGAATCCCATCAGTTGGGGAAACTAGATAAATACTATTAAAGTCTTCATGTTGCCATTTAGGTACGTTGATAATCCAGTGCAGGGGCCATTATGACCAGAGCTGTAAAGTTCAGGTTCAGAAAATAGAAATCCAGACCAAGATTTCGTTTCAGCCAGTTTTGTTTAGAGAGTCACAGCCTCAGAGTACTCCATTGGTTGGTTGAAACACAATCTTGGTCTGGATTTGAACTTTCTGGACCGGACATTTCCACCACTGATTACAACTGTATTGCCAGCATAATGCCTGAACATCAGGGTGTGGATTTCCTCTTACATTCACAGCTAACTAGTGATAGGGGAATTTAAGTTTCAAAATAACCAATGGATCACAGTATGGAAAACTGAATATCGCACAGCAAGCACACTCACCTGCTTTGCTTTTTCCGTTATGGGACAGTTGCTGCTGTGGGAAACATTACAGCATCAAATAGAAATAACATGACATAGTCAACAGATGACTAAGACATAGACTGAGCTTGCAGCACTGCCATACAGGGGAGGAGGTGGGGGGGGCTGAGTAAAATGGAACATAATTGGGTTGGTATGCTTTCATGGGGTCCAAAATCTCGGGCAGCACCCCTGCTGAAATGTGGGAGTCAATGGCTACCTGGAAGCAAGTAATTAAGGTTGCTTCATTGGCTGCAGTACTGTAGTATTGGGGGGCCCTCTGCCCCCAAACCCACCCTGTTTAAGGAGAATGTTCACAGCATGGGACCAGACACACAAACATTTTATGGCCTCAGTCCTTCCATTTTCCTCTCTAGTAGAGCTTGTAATTCACATGGTCACTGCGAGCAGATTGTGTTAATATGGCACAAGGCAGTAGACGGAGAACAACAGTGGGATAGAGTGCCTCCCCCCCTCCAAAATGCTACCTTAGGGCAGAGACTGGACTACCTCCCCCCTGATTAGCAAAATTAGCTGGGAGCGCAGTGGGTTTCTGCATACAGCTCTTAATATCCAGCATAATGCACAGGCAAAAGGTCTGGGAACAAGACGCTTAGCGTGCCTTCAGAATTTCACCATCATTTCACCTTGCATAACCGCAGATTTCTTTCCCATGGGTCATTCGTTATATAACATTGTTGGGACATTCGAAGCCTTTGTTTGGAGCTGGCAAACTCTTACGGAATAGCTCTTTATAGCTAAGAAGCGTAACAGCAAGTCTCCACCCCAGGCAAGAATGTCGCTGTCCTCTGCAGTTCTCAGACACAGCGTTAGCCTTTTGTTCTCGGTACATAAAACTTTACACGCGTGCTAAAGGTGCAGCCCAACAGATAAGCAAGAACACGACTGAAGCTTCACATTTAGTCATAGCTTACATATAACCTTCTTGGTTTTATTTAAGCATTCGTATACCTTGTATCGCCAAATGAGCCCTGTATCAAAATAATACTTGGATAAATACGTACACGATACAGTTCCTGGTTATGCTGCTGATGCATTACTTCAAAGACTGTATAGTTGCAAGAACCGTGACAGATCCAAAATAAAACGCCTGGTAGATTTATATCATTAAAACCACAAAAAACTCTCTGCAGAACTTATAGATAACATGAGATCTAGTGGAGTAACTCGAAAGAAGGATGTAACTTTAATGATAATAATAGTAATAATTGTTTTAATGTTACTGGTTGGAAGGGGTAGAGTATTACATAAACACACTGGAAATATAATCGTGGGATTACAGTTGTTCTGCGATGGTACGCAAACGTCGCTGTAAGCCTGCCGCCTCTTTCAGATAGATTTGCTTATGAGGGCCGTTTGTGTTTGTTCTGCTCGGCAACAATAAAGGTTTGCTTGTGATCAGTGGGGCTCTGGAAGGAAGTGGCTTTTACTGGAGTCTCCCAGCAGGAGCCACAGACAAACACTGATAAAAAAAACAACAAAACTACCACAGAAGCCTGGATGTCAAAGTAATGGTATGCAAAACAATACATAAAATGTATAACATGAAAAGAAATCAATAAATGTACATTATTCCCGTCCGTCTCTCCCACAATGCATCTGTCATGCATCACCTGCAGGTTTTTCTTCCTAAAATGTAATATATGCTAAATACATCACTCTACAATGCGCTATGTGCACCCTTCTTCAAGTCTATTTGGTGGCAAGATGTCGCTCCTTGAACTCGCACATTCAGCGCATTCGTACGCACGCGTAGAACACCACGACGTTCCTGATAAAAGACACTTTTTCCGCTGAGGTTCGGCCAATGAAGTCCCGGCAGCTGTAAGTCCAAAAAAAGGAAATCTCTCCCACGAAGACATGCCGGTTTTAAGGTCGATGGTCGTCGTCGGGACGGCCTCCCCTGACCGTCCTGTAACATGACTCGGTTGGTCACATGAGAGGTAAGCAGCATGAAGCACTGTACAGTAACGTGACACTTTGTCCTTGAGTATTTCAGCCATCACCCCAACCCCATCCACCACCACCCAGCCCCGCCACAAACACACATAACACAAATACATATCCTCGCATCTTGTGGCTGCCAATCACTCCAAGTACACGGTCGGGCAAAACTGAAGTGTCTGTTCCCTTGAGTGGATCCGATCTCCAGACGAGGGTGTGCGAGTGGACGGTGCTGTGTGCGAGTGGACGGTGCTGTGCACTCGCGCAGATGTAGGCGTTGGGAGTCGGGCCGGGTTTCTAGGGGAGAAACAGTCGGCAGACATACACCGTGCCACCAAATTTCACACTAGTATGAGGTCAAGACGACACTGAGCAGAATTCAGAGGGCAGATCCA